TCTCTCTCTCTCTCTCTCTCTCTCTCTCTCTCTCTCTCTCTCTCCCTCTCTCTCTCTCTCTCTCTCTCTCTCTCTCTCTCTCTCTCTCTCCGGCATTCTTCGCGCGCAATGAGTTGAATAAGGCGGCAGGTGGTGGGCGTGGGCCCGACAGGGAAAAGGGCGGGAAAAACGAGAGAATAACGGAAAAGAAGTGAAAAAAATGCGCGCGAAAATGAGGGGCCGAACGACACGCGCTAACGAGCGCTGGAATTGACCGCAGCCCCCCCCCCCCTTTCCCCTCCCTGTCCCGGAGATATAAAAGGGCTGGGGATGGAAAACGGATCCCCTCCCCCCGAAAAAAATGGAATCAAATCATTAAGCTGTAAATACACAATAACCATTTGACATGCAGCTGAGAATGCCGGCCGGGACCTGATGGAGGAGGAAACCTTCATAGTCAGAAATGGTGTGCAGCACGCCGTTGTTGCTGCCTTGGCACTGTTGGTGCTTGTGCCGCGCCGCGCAGTGGGCCAGAAGACCGGTGAAGGCGGCCAAAATTCGAGACGCGTTTTGAGCTCCAGAGTCGCTAATTAGGACTCGAACCGAACGTGTGACCCCACCAATGGATCGCTCTCCAAACGAGGAATCCATCGGTGGGGTCACACGCTCGGTTCGAGTCCTGGTTAGTGACTCTGGAGCTCAAAACACGTCGAGAATTTCGGCCGCCGGCGCCGGTCTTCTGGCCCACTGTGCGCCGTGCCATGGCCAGCCCGGCTCTCCCCCCTCCCCTCCATTTTGCCTTCCCATGGCATGCCGCTTACGTAAACACCATCAAAAACTGACAATCTAAGGTCCAAGGGCCGCCAAGGGCCGCCGACGGCCGCCGAGGGCTGTCCCCACAAGGCGGCCCGGCCCTTAGGGAGGCCGCTGTCCTAATTTCTGCACCCTCCCTTCAAACTGTCAGTGTCGGCGTTGTCGCGTCGGAATAAAAAAAAAGTCACCCCAATTTGCATTGTACACTAGTTGTCCAAACTTCATCAGCATTTACAAATTATGTTTTTTTTAGGGGGCGGGGGAAGGCGAGAGTATTCATCAGCAGCCAACTCGGTTTTAAGTAGAAGGGGAGTGGTTTGGGCGGAGGGATGTAACAAGGGCGAAACGAGCGATAAGAAAGGGACTGGAGTACCCTGTAAGTCCAAGAAGAGTGGGACAGACAACCACACTGGAAGCTCTAGTGCGAGCTGTCGCTACGACTCGAACCGAACGTGTGATCCCACCAATGGTTTCCTCGTTGGGAGAGCAACCCATTGGTGGGGTCACACGTTCGGTTCGAGTCACATTTGGCGACTCTGGAGCTCAAAACGCGTCCAGGATTTCGGCCGCCTCCACCGGTCTTCTGGCCCACTGTGCGGTGGACGTCTTCGGCCAGCGCCGGGCAGCTAGGCAACACTTGTCTCCGGTGCGCGGCGGGCTTGCCTACCCGATGATCGTCAGGCGGTAGAGCACTGGTAAAACGAAAGCGGCTCGGTGCGCACTGCAAATTCAAATGAGGGACTGCCGAGTGAATGAGAGGATCGGATTGTCACTCTGTCTCTCTCGCACCCCTACGCAGAGCCATGTGAGTGCGACAGAGACAGAGCGACGAAACGACTGAATCGCTCGCGGCTGCACTGTAAATGTCTTACGGTGAAAGGCTGCACCAACATATTATGGTGGAGATTTTCTCCAGAATACCAACTAAATTCGTCAAAATATCTATAAGGTACAGTGAATTCTCAATGGTATGTTACGAAGTCAGCTGCACCACCATAATATGGAACATTTTCACCATAATATGGAACATTTTCACCATAATATGGAACATTTTCACCATAATATGGAACATTTTCACCATAATATGGAACATTTTCACCATAATATGGAACATTTTCACCATAACATGGGACATTTTCACCATAATATGGAACATTTTTACCATAATATGGAACATTTTCACCATAATATGGAACATTTTCACCATAATATGGAGAATCTTCACTGTAGAACATGTAGAGTGTACGCTACGCTCCATGAGTGCGAGAGAGACTCACGGAATCAGTCTGCAGCGTGACGGCACGGCACGCCCCGGGGCAGCTGGGCGCGCTGAGGGCCTCCTCGTCCACGGCGGTGGCCGCGCCGCCACAAGGGCGTGCAAAGCCGCCGAAACAATGCACATTATTAAAATTTCATACAGAGAGAGAGAAAGAGAGAGAGAGAGAGAGAGAGAGAGATTGCAATACGTACAGGACACTGTACAAAGCAACAACTACTAAAACCTGACACATTACATTCTTTCAAAACTCGACTTCGGACTTCGATTCGACTGCGAGTAAAAACAAACAAGCTATATTTCTTGACACTGTTTATTTTTTTCCACTGTGTTGACATCAGTCGCTGGGTGAAGGTAAAATCAACTACGTTTTTTTTTAAAATTGACACAGTGTGGCAGAATTATTGGTTGCAGCGGTGTAGTGACATCCGCTTCCCCGCACGGCCGTCGAGGTCGAAGAGGTCGAAGGGCCCGTGGCCAAGCCCGGACTCGACCACCACGATTGTCATCTGTGTGCGTGCGTGTGTGTGTGGGGGGGGGTGTTTATGTGTGTGTGCGTGCGCGTGGGGACACACACACACACCACACTGCTCTCTTTCCGTGTCTCCGTGACGCATTGGTAGTACGAACGCCACGCAGTCAATTCAATTTCGGGGCCCAATCTACCCTCTCCCTTCCCCCCCCCCCCTCTCTCTCCTCTCTCTCTCTCTCTCTCTCTCTCTCTCTCTCTCTCTCTCTCTCTCTCGCTCTCTCTCCCCCCGAGGGAGCCGCAGATCCAATTACACCTGTACATGTAATTCGTAAATTCCTGACGGCCTGTAATTTAATCATTGCTTGGCGATGCGCGTGCTGGTGCGGTTTGGCATCGGGACGCCGCCGGGCCGTCAGGGGAGGGGAGGGGAAAGGGGAGGGGGGAGGGGAGGGGGAAGGGTATGGGGGGGATAGGGGAAAGAGAAGGGAAAGGAGGGGGGAGGTGGTTGTGTCGGAAAAGGGGGCGGGGTATGAATCTGTAGGTATACACGTCGCCATGGCCTGTCTCCATTCTAGTTTTTGTTCTTGCTTTTGTTCTTGTTTTTGTTTGCCGAACGCCCGATTCGGTTACGAAATCCGGCCGTGTCCGATGGGCCGGCCCTGCCATTAACCGCTGTTGTTATTTTTTTCCAGTCCCTCTCGCTCATTTGTTTAGTTGTTGCTCTGTCCTTTTCTAATGGCAACACACGCATGCAACTTGTGATTCGACGAATAATGATATGGGGGGGGGAGAGCAAGCTTGGTAAAGGGGAGAAGGGAGGGTATTTAGTCCGCACGGGGTTGTTTTGAACTCCGACCTGCAGACATGTTCCCGCGCTATGCGGATAAATTTATGGAACATGGCTCGACCGAAGCCCTGCTGCACCTTCGCCCCCCCCCCTCCCGCCTTTCACCCCCACCCCCTTCACCCCCCACCCTTTACCCCGCCCCGCTGCCCCAAGCACTCGTGCAGCTGCATTGACTGCAATGCTGGCGCGCAACAACATCAACAACGGGAACAAAAAAAAAAAGGTGACATGCTATGCTGCATGCTGTGTGTAGTTTCGGCCAGCTGCTTTCGGATACGAGGCCGGCACCAGATAAATAATCGCGTTGAAACGAACGTTGAGATCCTGGTTCCGCGCCTGAAAGAGCTTGACTTCTCGGCATGCTTCGAGGCAGAGATCTCTCGAAACCGGCGACTGGATTCAAGAACGCGGTCAACCAGCAGCGTCATCGGAAAGGATTATCCCGCAAAAAAATAAAATACAAGGAACAAACCGAGAAATGGGGATTCCCGACCGAAACGCCCGCGGCGACGGCGATGAGAATTAAAAGATGGTCCGCGCCTCGCTTATCCATCGGATTTGCAATGAAAAGAAAAGGGTGAAAGAAATGTGTTGTATTTCGTCTTGCTGAGCAGCTCGGCTCAAGCGGCCCATTCACGACAAAGTTTAGTTCGTTCAATATTTACTTTTCATTTTGTTCGCTGGGCGCCGCCAGGCGCAGCCGCGGGTGCCGCCGGCCGCCGCCAGAGAGCAGCACTCTCTCTCCCTCTCTCTCTCTCTCTCTCTCTCTCTCTCTCTCTCTCTCTCTCTCTCTCTCTCTCTCTCTCTCTCTCTCTCTCTCTCTCTCTCTCTCTCTCTCTCTCTCTCTCGCTCAGTACACACAGGCTGTGCATCATTTATTTGCTCCCTGTTTTATATTATTCACTGCCAATGGCTTCGTTTCCCTACTCCTCGTCTCCTCCCGCGTCGGCCGAGCGAAAAAGCGAAAAGGGGGCGGCAAGACGTTACGGAACCGCTTTGCACTGGCCGCCTTTTCCGCAGTGTACGCAGAATAATGCACGACACTGCGAGTGCGGGGAACGCATCTTCTCGCACGAGGGCTGGGCCAGAAGACCGGTAGAGGCGACCGAAACTCTAGACGCGTTTTGAGCTCCAGAGTCGCTAAATGGGTCTCGAACCGAACGTGTGACCCCAGCAATGCATTGCTCTCCGAACGAGGAATCCGTTGGTGGGATCACACGTTCGGTTCGGGTCTCATTCAGCGACTCTGTAATTCAAAACGCGTCCAGTATTTTGGCCGCATCCATCGGACTTCTGTGGAGGGAGTGAAGAGTAAAACCATGCAGCAAAAACAGCAGCAACATACGATTTTTGGACGTTCGAATTTTATTACTGTTTCTTTTCTATAGTTGTGGCGGCTGGCGATTTGGGGGGGGGGCTGTGGTAAGGCTTCTCGTCTGCGTGTGGCGGCTGCGTCACATAGGGCGTTCGTCGACATTAGAGACTCAGAGAGGCAGAGAGAAACTCTCAGCAGAGACTTAGAGAGACTCAGATAAAGACTCAGAGAGACTCAGAGAAACTCAAATAAAGACTCAGAGACTGACAGAGAGATGACAGAGAGACTCAGAGAGAGACTCAGAGAGAAACTTACATGTGAACTCAGAGAGACTCAGAGAGGACTCTACACTGGTAGCCAACGAATGTGACGTCACATTCGTTGGCTACCAGTGTAGGTGGCTCTCTAGGTGGTGGTCGTGATGATGGTCGGCGTGGTGGTGGGCGTGGCGGGGGCGGTGGTGGGCGTGTGGTGCAGCCTCTTGAGGAGGCCACCGCGGGGGCCTCGAAGACACGGCGGCAGTGGGGCCTTCTTCATCCGAAGGTACTCGATGAAGTCCCGCGTCACCCTGTAAACCACGCACCTCATGACCACAAAGGCTCAAGAGGAACTCGAACCGAACGTGTGACCCCACCAATGGATTCCTCGTTCGAAGAGCAATCCATTGGTGGGGTCACACGTTCGATTCCAGTCCCATCTAGAGACTCTGGAGCTCAAAACGCGTCCGGGATTTCGGCCGCCTCCAGTGGTCTTCTGGCCCACTGTAGGTCGGGTACCCACTTGAGCTGCGTGACGTCGCCGCCGAAGATCTCCTCCATGGAGGCTAGGTCCGAGGGCACGAAGTCCAGCCTCCAGCGGTCCTGGGTGTTGTTCCGGGGCGGCCTCCAGTGTGCCGGGTCCCCGATGGGGATGCTGCGGCCGAACGCGTGCGTGCGCATGGGGCGGCCCTCAGCACGCAGGTCCGCGCGCACGGCCAGACGCACGCGGGTCAGGTTGGACTGCTGCAAAGCCACAAAGCAGCCACAACGTTAAAACGCGTTTTGAGCTCCAGAGTCGCTAAATGGGGCTCGAAGCAAACGTGTGACCCCACCAATGAATTGCTCTCCGGACGAGGAATCCATTGATGGGGTCACACGCTCGGTTCGAGTGCCATTTAGCGACTCTGGAGCTCAAAACGCGTCTCGGGTTTCGGCCGCCTCCGCCGGTCTTCTGGCCCACTGTGTTAGACTAACCAGGTAGGCGTGCGCGTCGGTGGCCATGGTGTTGGGCACGCACACGAGCTCCTTGACGTTGACGGCGAGCGCGCGTGCCGCGGGGCCCTCCAGGTTGATGTCGAACAGCTTGCGCACGTCGTCGCACGTGAGCGAGGTGCGGGGCTCCTGCTCGTCGCGGTCCTCCTGCGCGCTCAGCTGCTGCATCCACTGGCAGAGCTCCGACACCACCTGCGGTGAGGGCAAGGTTCCTGGTTCAAACACCCGCACTTTTTCCATTTTATTTTTTTTTTTGCCCACATGTTTTGGCCGGGTCGGCCGCTAGCGGACATCCCCGAGTTCCCCCTCGGGGACTCCACACTCCCCGATAATATCCTATACCTGTGGTCATGTCCGCTAGCGGCCGGGGTGGCCAGCCCTCCTCAAGACACGCCCTCGGGGAAGCGCGGCCAGGCCGGGGACCTCTGCAACGGAACGGGGCGGTGCACAGTGGGCCAGACGACCGGTCAAAGTCCCCGACGCGTTTCGAGCTCCAGAGTCGCTGAATAGGGCTCGAACCGAACGGGTGACCCCACCAATGGATTGCTCTCCGAACGAGGAACCCATTGGTGGGGTCACACGCTCGGTTCGAGACCCATTTAGCGACTCTGAAACGCGTCTTGAGTTTTGGCCGCCTGCGCCGGTCTTCTGGCCCACTGTGCGGCGGAAGGGAGTTTAACGAAAATTTATGCAAAAGGCCGACGTGTCCTATCTTTGGCGCTACTGGATCCTGCCGGCGGCGATGGCACACCGTGGCTTGGTGTTTACTCATTTTTTTTAGTCTCGACAGAATGGCCGTTCCAGTGCTGCCACAACAGTGCGCGAAAATTCCCACCATGCTGCCACCAAATTCACCAAAAGTTTAAAATGTACTGAAGTTAATGAAAAAAATTATCGAAATGCATCCTAAAATTCAGTTGTTTTTGTCGGAAAAATTCGTTGAAATTTAATTGAAATTTATTTGATTTGTGCACCAAAATTCACAGTGGTTTCCTCTTTGCAAAAAAAAAGTTTGCAAAAAATGCACCTGGTCAGCCGCGGTGTCCGTGAGCACGTCGTCCGGCTGCTGCGGCCGCCAGGCGGGCCGGAAGTTGGCGCGGTCGGAGCGGCGCAGGAAGCGCAGGTAGGAGGAGGGCTCCTCCAGGACGACGGGCCGCTTGTCGCCCGGCCTGCGCATGCACGCATGACCAACTTTGCGGCGCACGCACAGTGGGCCAGAAGACCGCGGTGGAGGCGGTCAAAATCCCGGACGCGTTTTGAGCTCCAGAGTCGCTAAACGGGACTCGAACCGAACGTGTGACCCCACCAATGGATTGCTCTCCGAACGAGGAATCCATTGGTAGGGTCACACGCTTGTTTCGAGACCTGTTTCGAAATGGGACTAGAATCGAACGTGTGACCCCACCAATGGATTGCTCTCCGAACGAGGAATCCATTGGTGGGGTCACACGCTCGGTTCGAGACCTATTTAACGACTCTGGAGCTCAAAACGCGTCTGGAGTTCTGGCCGCCTGCACCGGTCTTCTGGCCCACTGTGCACTCACCTGCGCGGCTTGCTGTGGGCCGAGGACGGCGGCTGCGCGCTCAGCGAGTGGCCGAAGTCCGAGAAGGAGACGCGCCGCGACGCCCTGGACGGCGACGACGCCTCGCCGGACGCGAACGCGCGGCGCGACGCGGCGGAGGTGGCAGTGGAGGAGACGCGCTTGGCGGGGACCACGGTCGGGTCGCTCTGGGCGGGTGGAAGCGCGTTGACGGTTAAGTTACCGGTAAGTTGTGCACGGTGAAAACGGTTTCTGGTTTTACGAGGAACTCCCTGGAAATCGCCTAGTCTTTACCATAGGCTTCCTGGGAAAACCAGGTACCGTTTTTACTGTGTGAGGAAGGAAGGTACAGGGTAAAGGAAATAAAAATCCTGCTCAGCAGCAGAGCAGATTTAGAAGCATTTTTTTGCCAAATAGTTCTTTGTGAATTTCTTGTACTAATTTCCTGCACAGTGTAGGATGGTTTTCGTGAGCTTTTGCTTTGGATTATTCTGAACACTGTGATTTTTTGTTTTTGTTTTTGTTAACTTTTACTTACTTGGAACTTGACGGCCCTGAGAGCTGATCCATACAGACAAGGCGGCTTGCGCAGAGTTGGTCAAAGTTACCTCAAGCTCGACTCTTGAGCCACAGTCCAAAGACTCGAACCGAACGTGTGACCCCACCAATGGATTGCTCTCCGAACGAGGAATTCATCGGTGGGGTCACACGTTCGGTTCGAGTCCCATTGAGCGACTCTGGAGCTCAAAATGCGTCTAGGGTTTTGGCCGCCTCCACCGGTCTTCTGGCCCACTGTGTGCTCACCACGATGGACACCGTGGACCTGGGCTGCTTGAGGCCGAGCGTGTCGGGCAGCAGCTGCGCGCCCAGGCTGTACGCCGTCGTGGACAAGCACTCCCGCATCATCTTGGCCTCGGCGTGCGCGCGCTGGAAAACACATCAACTTTCACAACTCCGATACACGTTTTGTAGAGCGGGCGAGACCTCCCTCCAGCAAAGATGAGATTAAGACACAGTCCACAGATGGCGAAACCACCTGTGTGTAAGTAGATCACAACGTATGCCAAATGCACAAGAAATCTTGCACACTTTACCTAAGGAAAGTCCCACAATGGATGGCTGTACACAAAATTTTACAGTGGGTCACCCCTTAGACTTGGCTCGTCTCTGACCTCCAGCCGCACGCGCTGGTCCAGCTGCTGCAGCCGCTCGTCCCACCACAGCTTCCAGTCGATGTCGGACGCGTTGGGGGACAGGACGGACAGCGGGGAGGGCTCGCCGGGCCCGGGCACCACGCCGGGCACGAGGCCCTGTACAGTGGGCCAGAAGACCGGTGGAGGCGGCCAAAACCCTAGACGCGTTTTGAGCTCCAGAGTCGCTAAATGGGACTCGAACCGAACGTGTGACCCCACCAATGGATTGCTCTCCGAACGAGGAATCCATTGGTGGGGTCACACGCTCGGTTCGAGCCCTGTTTAGCGACTCTGGAGCTCAAAACGCGGCTGGAGTTTTGGCCGCCTGCGCCGGTCTTCTGGCCCACTGTGTCCTGGTGCTTCTTGAAGCTCTCCTGCAGGCAGGCGCTGAGGGCCTGCGACAGCCCGCGCCGCGACACCCGGGACACCCGCGAGCACGGCGACAGCAAGCTCTTCGGGGAGGGCCGGCCCATCGGCCGCGTCCCCAGGCTGTCCTCGTCGTCATCGTCCTCCCTGGCCGCCACCTGCGCGCAGTCGTGGCCGCGGGGTCTAGGGGGGCGGTTCGTGAGCGCAGGGTGCGGGTTCGACGCCCGTCAGGGACACTCCAAAATGTCGACAAAGCACCTGCTTTTTAACTAAGAACAATATGAAGGCATTGCTTTGCTGAAATGCTTCGTGTTACGAAAGATTCTGCTTCATGGACCTTACAATGCCTTCGTTTTCTTGTTAGGAAAAAGCGATGCTTCGGAGACTTTTTCCGGTGTACCTGCTGCAGGGACGGGTTGGCGGTGGTGGGGATGAACACGGACAGCTTCCGGTCCGATGTGGGCGCTTTGACTTCCTGCATCTCGGAGCCCTGCGGCAGGACGCGTTTTGAGCTCCAGAGTCGCTAAACAGGACTCGAACCGAACGTGTGACCCCACCAATGGATTCCTCGTTCGGGGAGCAATCCATTGGTGGGGTCACACGTTCGATTCGAGTCCCACTCAGCGACTCTGGAGCTCAAAACGCGTCTGGAGTTGAGTTTTGGCCGCCTCCGCCGGTCTTCTGGCCCACTGTGGCGGCCTACCTGGCACGGCGTGGACGGGCACTCGGAGGGGGCGTCCTCCACGGAGCGGACCGAGGGGGCCGAGGGTGACGGGGGAAGGTCGGCGTCGACCGGGACGTCGAGGCCGCGCTGGCTGCGCACGGAGGACGGGGCGGCGGAGGGGGCCGGGGTGGCGGAGCGGCCGTCGACGGGGACGTCCATGCCGAACAAGGAGGACAAGCCGGCCGGGAGCGACGGCCGGCCGCCCGGCACCGACGCCTTCCAGACAGTCAGCTTAGACAAGCGCGGATCCAGAGAGAGGAGAGAGAGAGAGAGATAGAGAGAGAGAGAGAGATAGAGAGAGAGAGAGAGAGAGAGAGAGAGAGAGAGAGAGAGAGAGAGAGAGAGGCGGGGGGAGGATGGGAGGGAAAGGGAGGGAGGGAGGGAGGTGACCATCCCCCCCCCTTTTCCTTGACCTCTAGCTAGCCGCCTGAGAGGTAGGCAAAAAGCGACACTTTGCCCCCCTCGGAAAGGGTAAGTGCGGGGGGGGGGGGGTAAGGGAGGTGCACCCTGATATCTTGACTTGGAGCCGTCCCACGACCAGTCACTTGCCCGTTCTTCTCCAACTTAGGCAAAAAGTGCCACTTTGCCCCCCCCCCTCTCTCTCTCTCTCAGGCCGCCTCTGGATCCGCCACTGGCCGTAGACGATGCTAACCTCGTCGACGGCGTGGAAAGTGATTGCGACTCACCGCTGGCGAGGTGGTGCCGTGGCCGGGGCCGGGCCCCGTCTGCCGGAAGGCCGGGTGCGCCACCTGGATGTCCTCCACGACCTCGAACGAGATGGTGGAGTGCGCCGCCAGCGCCGCCTGGCGCCGGCCTCTCGCTCAGTCTCAAGTTGCCCACTTCACAGTGGGCCAGAAGACCGGTGGAGGCAGCCAAAGTCCCAGACGCGTTTTGAGCTCCAGAGTCGCTAAATGGGACTCGAACCGAACGTGTGACCCCACCAACGGATTCCTCGTTCGGAGAGCAATCCATTGGTGGGGTCACACGTTCGGTTCGAGGCCCATTTAGCGACTCTGGAGCTGAAAACACGTCTCGAACTTCGGCCGCCTCCACCACCGGTCTTCTGGCCGACTGTGGCACCCTCATAACACGCGGAAAGGTGCGATACTACCCATCCCCGGGCGGGCCACTCACGGCCCTCTCCAAGCGGCCTCTCCGGCTGGCCTATAGCCTATTTGGTCGTTTTTTTTTTTTTTTTTTTTTTTTGACGAGCTCTGCAGGCTTGCTCACCGATCGCGGAGGCAGCAGGTCCTCCGGCACCCTGGTCCTGCCCGTGGTCACCACGTCCATGAGCTCCACCGACGCGATGCCCGAGTGGATGCTGCTGGTGGACAAGGGCATGAGGCTGACGCCGCTGGGCCCGGGGGACTGTCCGGACTGTGCCGGCGGTCCCGGCGCGCGCAGCAGCCCCTCGGCCACGCCGGCCGCCGCGGCGTTCTGCGGAGGCTGTGCCGCGGCGTCCATCTCGCCGGCTGTCCCCGGGGCCGCCTCCAACTCCTGCCGGAACCATGGACTGAGAGCGCCGCCAAGGGACTCGCACAGTGGGCCAGAGGACCGATGGTGGCGGCGGCCAAGATTCGAGACGCGTTTTGAGCTCCAGAGTCGCTAAACAGGGCTCGAACCGAACGTGTGACCCCACCAATGGATTCCTCGTGCGGAGAGCAATCCATTGGTGGGGTCACACATTCGGTTCGAGTCCCATTTAGCGACTCTGGAGCTCAAACCGCGTCCAGGTCTGTGGCCGCCTCCACCGGTCTTCCGGCCCGCTGTGCGTGCTCTGTAGGTGGGAGAAAGAGTGACAGATATGTCTCTCTCGCACTAATGGGTGTGAGTGAGACAGAGCGACGAAGACTTCTCTGGAAATGAGTCTGCACTGCAGCCTCACCATGGCCGTGTCCGGGGCGTCCTGCCCGGACATGTCTTCGTCCGGGGTCCGCTGGGCGTGGTCGTGGTGGGCCGCGTCCCGCGCAGCGTTCGTTTCCCGCGCCACTTCCGGTGTCACTTCCGGCGCCACTTCCGGTCCAGTGTCTTTCCTCGTTTCCGGTCCGTTCTCCGCCACCGAGTCCGAATTGGCGGAGCTACTTCTGCCTTCCGGTCGAGACATGTCTGCTTTCTGCCTCGACGGGGGTCAGGGCGACGATGACGGGGAGCGCTGAGGATGGAGGACCGAAGAACGGCAATCGATGAAAAATTAGAAATGCCGCACAGCGGGCCAGAAGACCGGTGGAGGCGGCCAAAACTCTCGACGCGTTTTGAGCTCCAAAGTCCCTAAACAGGACTCGAACCGAAAGTGTGACCCCACCAATGGATTGCTCTCCGAAGAATCCCTTGGTGGGGTCACACGTTTGGTTCGAGTCCCATTTAGCAACTCTAGAGCTCAAAACGCATCCAGAATTTTGGCTTCCTCCGTCGGTCTTCTACGGCCCACTGTGTTATGTGCAGTAATACTGAGCTAACTATAGCACTGTGTCATTATGCAGGGTGTCATGCAATCCCTGGCTTGGAGCCCTTGGGTCATACTGCGAGTGGGAGTCGTAGCCGTTGGTGGTTCTTCTCCGCCGGGATAAAGTGTCACCTTAGTAAGGACGGCCATGTCTCGTTTTGCAGTGCAGGCGGGCATGTGTCGGGCCCGAAATGGCATACGATCATGTGTGGTCTAGCCCTTAATGGTAATGGGAGAAACGCTGCGGCTGCGCGGTCCGGCGCACCGGTTCCAAAACACTGTCTTTCGGCGCTTGTAGCGCCTGCGAGGTAGGCCTCTGGGCAGCCTCGCTACACACCGGTGTGCAGACGGTGGCCTACCTTGCCCCTGTGGCCACGACAGTGCCTGCGTGAATAACGCGTTCCCGCGCTTGTAGAGTTCCTATCTGGTCACAAACAGGCACGAGGAATCCATTGGTGGGGTCACACGCTCGGTTCAGGCCTTGTTTAGCGACTCTGGAGCTCAAAACGCGTCTAAAGTTCTGCTCGCCGGCACCGGTCTTCTGACCCACTGTGCGTTCCATTCACAAGGTAGTCAAGGTGCGAGGGACGTACCTGTCACTCCACTGCCGAGAGGAGGCTTGCCGATATGTCACGCCTCGCCAATTTTGCCATGGCACGCGCACGCACGCGCCGCGAACCGTTAAGTTACTAGAGTTTGAAATGAGCACGGAGGAATTTTGAGGGAAAAAAATGTGGTTTCAAAACATGATAAGGTGTTGTGAACAGCGGCCAGCCGCCATGTTCCTTTGAAGCAAAGTGCTTCGCCGGTTGCCAGGCAACTGCAGCACTGCTGCCCCTCCCCACATGAAAACAAGATGCCGCGAATATTTCAAATCCATTTATTGAACCTTTCCAAAATGCAAAAGTTATCACATAAAAGCAGCATGATAAAAGAGGATAATGACAATAAGATGCCTACAGACCACCATTGGAAGTACACGGAATCTATTCGACTGTTTTGCAAGCTCTGTGCTGAGCCCGATCAAAATCCTTTTTGATGTCTCACATGAGGTGATTTCATGATTCATTTGAATCATATGATTGGATCAATCCATTGCATTCACTTTTTCTACATAATGGTATTATGATGAGTATTTCATGAAATACAAATCCATGGCTACTGTTGAATACAGCAAGAAATTTTCAAAGTCAGAGACATTGTGTTATATAACGGATTTAAAATTTAAACCCTGTCACTCCTCAGGTCAGAATCTTTTGAGGGAAGAAAATTGTGGCTGTAAATACTAATAAATAATTACAAGAGACACACCTACAACTACAATACAGCTTAACTTTTGAAAATCGCTTCAACTTAAAAAATGTGTACAGTGATATAGGTGACAAACAAGTTCATCATGAGATGGCATTTGTGCTCTACTTCAATACACTGACATATCACAATAAAATTCCCTTCTCATGATTCTTACTGTAAAACCCACATTCCTAAATAACGATCACAAAATTTGATCTTGAGAGGAACTGTTCATAGTCTACTCCCCAACAACATAACAAGAACAAGAACCCTGACTAAATCACTAGTCTAAAACTCTTAGGTGTTTTCGAGCAGTAAAAATACTTTGATATTAAGGCACTTTATAGCATTTTTTTCCTGATACACTGCTATAATTTACCTATTAAAATAATTATAATTGAGCTGGACCAGAGATGTATACAATGTACATAGCCATAACCATAGAGACACCATTACAGGTAACACCCCATACTACACATGCTCCTATACAAAAGAAAAATAATTTCAGAACAAACACGACACAACAGGCCAAATTTGTGTGTGTTGTTGTTGTTATTCTAATTTATTTCAGACAGTGCCACTGACATGGCTTTCCTTCCATGCAATCAACTGTGGTCAGAATATTAAACAGATATATTATGAAAGGTAGTTCATAAAGGTGTTTGTACTTATGTCTTAATTCTAGCATCACTATAAACACTGACGTCCAAAACTATCATACAAACAATGATCACACACTATTCTGCATTCAAGAAGTGACAACTTGATCTCAACCAGTCTTAACAAATTGTGCTCACTGGGAAAATTGCTTACGTATATTTTTTTATCAGAGCAGAAGTTTTGCTTTTTCTTTTTCAGGAAATATTTAGGAGCACACCTGTGATAAATAAGAGTTTAGGAATTGAATAAAGCTAAATAACACAGAAATTATAAGACTAGTATATAAAAGTATATAAGACCACAAAGTTCTGATGTAGTAATGTTTTGGTAACCCTTGAAATAGAGAAGGCACAGAGGCATGTAAAACACTACTACACTAAAAATGGGAAAGGAAAAGTCAAAACCATAGCCATGAACAGCAAATGGATATCAGTCACAAGAAAATGTAATTCTCAAACTTCCAATCTACAGCTAAACTAGAAAGACAGGAATGTCTAAACTGCAACACTACATATACTTTCAGATAATTAAATTGCTAAGTACAAACATGAGGTTTATGAAACCCTTACGCATATAAACTCAGAACCACCACAACCTTAATTAAGATGGCCTCTAGAATATAAGTTCATAAGCTGCTCGGTAATCTCAGAAAAGAAACAATATATCTTACGAAATGCAACAAGCTACTTTGGAGGATGAATAAATTTTCAACGGGTTCAAACAAAAACAAAAAGACAACTCAAAAAGTAATTACAGTAAGTGTAAAATGACAAAAGGAAGATTTCACCATATTTGATAGACATTGACACATTTGAGAGAATTATTGAACACTTAGGCCACATTTAAACGATCAACTGTTTATAGAGCAAGAGAACCCTGCAGGTCATTATGTCACAACCTAAAGCTCTTCTAGTTTACAATAACGAAAGTGAATAACTGCTATCACAGATATAATAGATGGAAATCACCACAGTAACAATATTCTTTCACCTAGTACCCAATTTAGGCAGGTGGCAACCAAAACCAGATATGCAGACAGTATGCAGTCTTAAGCAAAAACCCAGAGGTTTAGATACAATTGCTGCAGTCAGACTTCACTTCACTGACATTCATATAGAGAGAAGACATGTTACATCTTGGACCAATGACAGCTAAAAATTTTCCACAAATGCATTTGAGTAATGCAGATTGTTGTCTCACTTCCAAAAAGCACAAAATGAGTTACAGATGTGGGACACCGCAGATTGAAAGTCACATCATTTTAAAAACAATTTTTAAAAACAACTACTGTAAAAAAAAAGCTCAACGATTCAAGGAAATTTTCTGCATCATTTAACTTGAGAAACACAACTCAGTAACATCACCCTAGTGCAAAAAGGGCCAAGCTTTAAAAGTTTAATTGAAAATAAAATTTAAAATGAATTGAATCTAAACCAAAGGCTTTGAGTAGTAAATGGCACTAAACGATAAATGACTTGTAAGTTGCTTGCCACCCGGTGACTGTGGTCCAAGCTGGGAATTGTTCCACCAACTTCTTAAACGGCTTGGACTTTTGATGTGGGCCGTGCACGAAGTGGCTGGTCAAAGCAATATCTAAAACAGCTTTATCCCAGCCATCGGGAACCTGGAAACATGATGGAAGACAGTTGAGATAACATATACAAACAGTCCAAGCAAACCTGATATGACAAAATCATACCCTGAGGTCAAGTGTAAAGATCCATGGCCTGGGTTTATCAGCATAGGAAAAGTACACAAAGTATGTCTCCCTGCCATTCCATTTGGGTCCCGCCAAAGGTGGGTCGCTGAGCATACTCCATCGGAGTAATTCAATTTCTTTAACTGGTGACACCATGAGGCCCATGTGATCTGGGCCAGTAACATGAAAACTTAATCTTTGGACAGACTGTGACACCGCCGTCCGAGACATAAGCTTAAATGTGGTATTAATAGGGACATCTATTTCTGGCCCTTTAATCCAATGGGTTTTCCTGTCAAAGTAAAAAATGTTATGAGGCAAGATACCCAGATTAATGAATTGAGATAAAAAAAAAACAGAACCGAGAGTGTAACTTACCAAATGAAAGAAAGAATGGGAATAAAGTAAGGCATGCCACAGTACAAGTATGTCTCACAGTCCTTTGTGACAGGTACAGCATTGTCAAACTCAGGCACAATGCCTTTCACGGTGGCAGGACTGTTGACGTCCAAATCAACGACCCAAAACCCTGACTCCCGATTAGTCAATTCACCATTGATGTTGTGGAATGATCTCTCAGCATGCTGAAAGGAAAATATTATAAATAGCAAAATTAAATTCGATATGATAATAGTTTCAGCTATGGTTTCAAATGGATTTAACATTTTTTTTACCAGTATTGCGAATCTTTGTTGAGCCAGGCCGGCTGGATCCCCAGAGTATGGGAAGCCTAATGGTGTGAACATAAGGGCTCCAAGGGAAGCGATAAAAATGCCAACTAGAAGGGAAAGCACTTGTCTTGGATTCCTAACCAGCAGAATCATTGGAATCTTAAAAATAAAAAAAAAAAGACAAATAAGATCAATAAAGTTGCTTTGTCAAACATGAAACATTTTCAGTTTTCTATCAGTTAATGTAGAGATATACTTACAATGTAGCTGAAAAGTAAACTAAACATGACAGCACAAAGGACAGCAAGAATCAGCTCTCCATTATTCGCAGCTCCAGTTCGTCCCATGATGGGAATGAACAGCTGAACGGCATTTAGAGTCATGTATGCACACTGAACAAATGGGAGGAACATCATGGTGGCATGTAGTAGCAGCCATTTCCAGTCTGGAAAAAGCGGACAAAAAGAACATTAGAAAAACAACAAAAGAAAAGGCAGCATTGGCACCATCTGTTTACTGAAACAAGAAACAGTAGTTCACCTCGCCAATGAAGGAAAATTTTCAGACGAATGAGATTTCCTACAGTAGGGAACACCACCCAGAAAAGTGGGATGAAGGCAGACTGAATACGACTAACAGTCGACAGTAAGAGCATGGTTGACCACACCAGCTGGTACCCATCATAATAAAGTTGGAATAATGTCCAAGGAGAAACAACAGTCTGGAATGGATATAAACCAATTAAAATCATGTTCAAACCAATGCACAAAGGAACTTTTGGTAAGAAACAACAAGATACTGCTCACCTTGCGTTGTTGCTGAGATTTGTACATCAGGAACATCATTGGGACGAACATTGCTGGTAACACATACAGGAAAAGAATCCAAACAGGCTTGGCGTACCAGCTCATGCTGAGACCCAAGGCAGTCAGAGTGAGGGCAATCGCAACTGCTGAAAAGAGTGCCAATAACCAGGACTGAAGCACCACTCCAGCACAGGAGATCAACTGCTTCAGGTATTGCTTCTTTGTTAATCCTGAAAACAGAAAATGGTAAATTAAAACCAGTTTATACAACAAAAAAATATTGGCTGGCATTTAGCAAGTGACACCAACCTCTGTGGATTGCCTCCTTCATATTTGATGACATGGAGTATACAGAGAGCAGCAGAGTGGCAATATTAACAATATCACCAGCAAAAATTGACCAGAACATGATAAATGCCCCTAGAACGTCAAAAAAGACTATTCTCCCTTCTTTATGCTGTGCTGTGTTGGTCAACTCGTCAGCAGACACAAGTCCCGTAACAAGAGCAACCATATTATCTCCAGTCCTTTGGAGGGATCCCAGAGGAACGTGGGCTGCGTTGTCATTCTTTGTGTGGTACACATAACCATTGAGGTACCATGCAAAATCCAGCCCTGCACAGAAATCAAGGGTAAGAGAAAAGCAGGTTTTAAGACAGCTATGAATGACTTGGAGTAGCAAGTAGCAGTCTCACCTGGCACACCGCCAAAGTCTCTGAAAATTCTGTAATCTGTATCACCAGGAATAAAACCACTTTGGAAAATTTCTTGTGCTAGCGATGAGGCAAATGGATACCCGACGGTTTGTGAATAAATCTATCAAAAAGAAAAATCAAATTTCACTAAAGACAATATTTTTTTACAATATTGATTACAGAAAGGAGTAGGAAAAGATGCTTTACCTTCATTAGCCATGGATGATTTGGCCCAGATTGGAACATGACCTCTCGCCCTCCTGCTCCACAGGACTCAAGGTTTACCACAGCCCGGATTTCTTTAGCCCATTTATGTTTGGTAATAAATCCATGGGATGCCTACAGTCAAATACAACAGTCATCATTCAGTGACACAAAAGTAACCAAGGGTCAAAAATATGAATGTATGCTCACCTGCATGAAATTTTCCTCAGCTCCATTGAACAACAAAACAAGATTGTGTTTTATAGGCTTCTTTGATAATGAAAATAGTCTCAGAATTTCAAGCATCACTGCACAGCTTGCCCCATCATCACTTCCACCTAAATCAAATGAAAATATCAATTGAAAGATGAGAACTAAGGCTCAAAATACAGAGAAAACCGTAACTGGTAAGATCTTTTCTTACCAGGACTATCGCTGACAGTATCAAAATGGCAGTTCATGAGAATGCTATGTTCAGACCCTTTGTCGGACCCAAACTTGACCACAACATTCTGTACATCGTAGTAGACATGTGTCATTCCATCAAGGAAAGTAAGTGGAAAAGATCCATTGATTTTTTGAAAGTCAAGCTCTATTTTGTGTATGGGTCTGGCCTGCTCAATGATGGATTCTATAGTATTCTTGAGGAAATTCACAGCCAGTACTTCATTTTCGTAACTTCCCGTCACTCTGGGACCAATGTTGGTTAAGTTAACTAACGTATTCTTTGCTCGTTCAGCAATAAATTTTCCTGGGTTGTTCGCTTCATCCTCAATCATCAAGGGGGTTGGGAGCTGTTTTTCAACGTAAACAATAATTCCGAAGACAACTGCCAAGCCAAGGAGGAAGAAAACAAGGTGGAACGTTGGAGTCGGAAGAGCAAAGTTGGATTGGCCCTTGCCATCTCCATAGGGATATGGCAGATATTCGTCAGATTCTTTGGCTTTTTTTCGGAGCCTTATACCACGGCGGTCCTGGAAACAATCAAAGCAGGAACGACAACATCAGTAGTTTGCAAGGGTCGTGCGGACAATTACTGAGCAGTAAAACTAGATAAAAATAGCCCAATGCATATAACACAAACAGTGACATAACTCGAACAGGCTATCAAATCAGAAACAAAACCACCAGACAGTTAGCTAAACTAGCAATAGCAAATCTTTTTCAAATCTTTCCACTTTCTAGATTGATCTACTTTGGGGAGCCTTCTTGAGGTTATGAAGTTTATTTACTTCCTCGCACACTGCCCCGGTTGTCATGCTGACACGGCATGTGAGGCACTTAGAGTGTCACCGCTTGCAGGACGACTGCAGCCAAAGAACACCAGGCGATTTACCAGTCCTCGCGGGGTCGCGGTCGGGGTCATATCTTGGCCGGGCGGGTCCTCCCTAGGAACTCATGCGGCGCAGATAAGGCGCCTCTCTGGCAGTGTGGCGTGGCAGTCCGAGCTTGGAGTATTACTCCAAGGTCCGAGTGTCTCGCCTTGCGCCCGGCCCTTCGCCCCGCCTGGCCTGTCCTGCCGAGGCAGCCAGAGGCGGCGACGCCTTAGGCCCTGGCCTGGCGTTAACACAAGTCGCCCTGAACGTCACTCGGACACGCCACAGAGCATCTCTCAGCTGTTCGGGCTGCAGAGTTCCGCAGGACCCGGACTACACCAGCCGCCAGCCGCCTCCGAAAGTTGCGCGTCCTTGTCGCTCCGGCGGCGGCTCCGCAGGACGGACAAGGACGCAGGGGTCCTTTTCTTGCCGCTTTCCCTCGCCCCGCCTACCTCCACCACGCCCCCTTCGTCCGCCTTCCCGACGTGCAGCGCGGCCAACCCGCGGCACCGAAACCCCAACCCGAACGAGGAATCCATTCGTGGGGTCACACGTTCGGTTCGAGTCCTGTTTAGCGACTCTGGAGCTCAAAACGCGTCTAGGGTTTTGGCCGCCTCCACCGGTCTTCTGGCCCACTGTGCGCCGCGGAGCGAGCGGCGCGGGTTGGCAGCCCTGCCTTGCCGCGCTCTCCTTCAAAGTGGGTCGCGGGGATCGATAGAGCTGGTCGTTGGTCGTCCTGCGCTCTGCGCTTCGCCTCGGCCGGATCAGCATCGGGCTGCTGCAGGTGCATGGTGCATCTGCAACGTCTGCAGCCGTTTCGTCGCTCCGTCTCTGTCGCACTCACGGAGCTGTCCGTAAGGTGCGAGAGAGGCAAACCGCTCTACAGTGGGCCAGAAGACCGGCGCCGGCGGCCAAAACTCCAGACGCGTTTTGAGCTCCAGAGTCGCTGAACAGTACTCGAACAGAACGTGTTCCCCACTCGGTTCCCCACCGATGGATTCCTCGTTCGGAGAGCAATCCATTGGTGGGGTCACACGTTCGGTTCGTGTCCCATTTAGCGACTCTGGAGCTCAAAACGCGTCCGGAGTTTGCTGAATTCAAGCGATTAGGTAACTACACCGAAAATTAAACGCAGTGCCCGCCATCTCGGTGGGGAGTGCCCGACACGGCAGCGTGACTGTACCGACATGGCAGCCTTGATTGTCATCTCGCGCCGTCACGCAATTTGAACAGATTCGCGCATGCACCTGCAGTGTAGGTGCAAGCTCGGGTGTGGGTGAAGTGTCGCCCCACACTAAGCGATCCAAATTAAATTCGATGCAGTGGTGGCGGATGGTGTCCTTGAGGGTGGTCCTCAATCAGACCTAGGACTCTATGTACGTACTTTGTATGTATGTACGATGATGCAATTCCACATTTCCACAGCACCGCGCGATTCCTGCTCGGAGTGCACTGTAGTCTGATTCCGGGAGTCGTTTTCATCTCTCTCTGTTTCTCTCGCACCTAAACGGGACGCCCCATGAGTACGAGAGGGATAAGGTGACGAAAAGGACTCTCGGAATCAGTCTGCGAGTGCGATGAAGCGGGAGAATTCCGAAGGGCTTCAGAACTCCCGTGGGAGTGTCCGCGAAAGTCCCTTTTCGCGAGAGCCACAGGTAGGCAATGGACTCCCCTGGGTCCTCCGGGCCTCCAAGGGGAGTTTTGGCCAGGCCAGGGCAGCACAGTGGGCCAGAAAACTGGTGGAGGGGGCCAAAATTCTAGACGCGTTTTGAGCTCCAGAGTCGCTAAACAGGCCTCGAACCGAACGTATGACCCCACCAATGGATTGCTCTCCGCACGAGGAATCCATTGGTGGGGTCACACGTTCGGTTCGAGTTCTGTTTAGCGACTCTGGAGCTCAAAACGCGTCGAGAGTTTTGGCCGGAACCGTCTCGCTCCCACCCTCACGGGACGCCCCGTGAGTGCGGAAGAGAAAGCCTGTACCTCGACTATGCAGGCCTCCATGGCGGCGTCGCGGTGGTGCCGGTCCACTGGCGTGCTCGCGCGGGCGGTGCTCGCCCGACTATGGCCTTTGGCGGAATCTCACCGTTTGGTGCCGTGTTAGTTGTTGTTGCTGTTTTTGCAGGTGTGTTGTTGTTGTTGTTGTTACTGCTGTGCAGGACGCAGGACACGCAACTCGCGGATGGCGTTGTAAAATGCCGGCGTGGCGCTTTTGGCGAGAACGGTGTCATGTGATGCCGGCGATGCCGCGTCAATGCCGTGACACGCAGGCGGACGGAACCTAACTTCCGGAATTTCAGTGCACAGCGGGCCATCAAAATCCCGGACGCGTTTTGCGCTCCAGAGTCGCTAAATAGGCCTCGAACCGAACGTGTGACCCCACCAATGGATCGCTCTCCGAACGAGGAATCCATTGGTGGGGTCACACGCTCGGACCGAGTCCTGTTCAGCGACTCTGGAGCTCAAAACGCGTCCGCGAGATTTCGACCGCCTCCTCCGGCCTTCTGGCCCACTGTGCAGAGCCAACTCACCTCCTCCACAGTTCATCGGCGACCCGAACTCCTCCAGAGCGAGCTTCATTAGGAGCGGCGCGGTGCAGCTGGGTGCAGGCGCAGGCAGCAGGTGCTTTCGGGGACGGCGGTGACCATGTGCGGGTGGCGGCGACGCCGGGCGGCGCGTCGGTCTGCTCGGCGTCGCCGTGCACATGGGGCCCGGGCGCGCGGCGCGGGAAACGCGGGGGGCGGAAAGAGAGAGAGGGGGGCGCCGCGGCGGTGGGGGAAGGCCACTCGGGGCTCTGGCCGCTCTGGCCGGCCTGCAGCTGCTGTTGTTGCAGCGGCGGCACTGTGTGGCACACTGTGTGGCGCGGCGCCGCCAGTGTGCTTGGCGAGGCCTGTGGACGAGGACGAGGACGAGGAGGTCCGGTCGAGCCGCGAACAGTTCGTGAGGCGCCCGGCGAGGCACTCCGTCAGCCCACCGGCCAGCTTGAGGCGCTAGAGGCCTTGGAGCGAGCAAGGCCGTCGCGATCCTGACCGCGCCGTCAGCACCTCACCGCCACCATGGACCCCGAGGCCTTCCTGGACCTGGCCAACCAGGTCACCAAGCTCAAGATGTTCCCGTACTTCGACATCGCGCACAGCGTGCTCTGCGCGCTGCACGTGCGCGAGGACCTGGGCCCAGGTAAGGCCGAGGCCGAGGCCGGGGAGGACGAGGAGGAGGATGGCGGCGGCCAGGCCCAGGCTGGCGGCGTGGCTGGGCGGCTGGCGGCGGCCGGCCGGTTTATTTTTACCCAAGAGCGACGCGCCGCGACGCCGGGCCGTGGGCCTTGCCGTAGGGCCGTGCCGCCACTGTAAGCTGCCGTGCCCAAGCAGTGCCTGGGCACCTCCAACGTCCTTCTGGCCCGTCGTGGCCTCCGCGGCCTCCACCAGCACGTGGCCGTCGACGCCGAGCTCCGCACAGCTTCCCGCCAACGAGGGGCCGGCCGGCGACGCTCGACAGCGTCCTGGACACCTCGGCGGCCGTGCCGGCTTCGTGCTGCACGAGTGCGCCGTGCTGGTGCACGACCGGAAGGGCCCCAGGACGTTGAGGAGGCCGTCGCCGGCGTGGTCCTGGCGCGGCGCGGCCTGGACCGGCAGTTCCAGCCGCTGGCGCGGCGGGACACTACAAGGCCACGTGGTTCCCGGCGGCTGGGCGGCGCGGCAGCCAATGGCAGCACAGCGCGGGAACGGAGGGGGCGTTTGAACTGATGCAGCAGCTTGTGCGGCAGGCCACGTGAGCCAGAAGACCGGTGGAGGCGGCCAAAACTCTAGGGGCGTTTTGAGCTCCAGAGTCGCTCAATGGGACTCGAACCGAACGTGTGACCCCACCAATGGATTCCTCGTTCGGAGAGCAGTCCATTGGTGGGTGGGGTCACACGCTCGCTTCGCGGCCTGTTAAGCGACTCTGGAGCTCAAAACGCGTCTAGAGTTTCGGCCGCCTCCACCGGTCTTCTGGCCCACTGCGTGCCGGGCCGAACGGGTTCGCCCGATGCGTGGCCGTCCGATGCGAAAGCCGTTTCTAAAACGCTGTCCGGGGGTGGCAGGTGGCAGGCCGCGCCATTGGGCCGCGCCTCCTGGCCGCTCAATACAAACCACTAAATCGATTCCAGGCACAACCCCTCCGGTACTTAGGCCTAACCACCTTGCCAACAAAAAAAAAGAAAGAAAAAAAAGTGTGTATACGCACTGGTCGCCTGGAAAAATACGGCAAAGAAATTAAATGACATTAATGTCCATGGCGGTAATCCCGTCTGAACTTTTCAGACCACTAGTCTCGAAATTGTCGCCTGGCTGAAATACTATCCTCTTTTATCCAGAGGCGGCAGAGAAACAAAACAATTAAATTACTCAGGATGCGGCGTACCTACGAAATCATTCACGCACGTGTTTTGTCGTATGCGACTTGGAACTAGGGATTTCACAACCATTTCGCAACTGAACTCAAACTCCTCGGCGGGGGGCTCAGGTGGGGATCGCCTCAAAGGGAGCTAGGCCACTGCAGAAACTTATTCCTGTGTACTTATCTGTTTATTTTGAGTTGCGCCAGGTCAAAGCTCTTTCGTGTACATAAGTGGCGAATCCAGAGCAGGACGGAGGAAGAGGCAAAGTACAGCAGTTATTGCCTATTTCCAGTGGCAAAGTAGCATTTATTGCCGACTTCGAGGGGCAAAGTAGCTTTCTTTTGCCTACTTCGAGGGGCAAAGTAGCATTTTTTGCCTACTTCCAGAGGCAAAGTAGCATTTCTTGCCTACTTCCAGAGGCAAAGTAGCATTTATTGCCTACTTCGAGGGACAAAGTAGCATTTATTGCCAACTTCGGGGGCAAAGTAGCTTTTGTTTCCTTCTTCGAGGGGCAAAGTAGCTTTCTTTTGCCTACGTCGTCGAGGGGCAAAGTAGCATTTATTGCCTATTTCGAGGGGCAAAGTATCATTTTTGCCTACTTCCAGAGGCAAAGTAGCATTTATTTGCCGACTCCGAGGGGCAAAGTCGCTTTTTTTGCCCAACTCTGTGGCGGCAATCTAGGAGCCAAAAGGAAGGGGGAAGGGGAGGGGGGATCAATTGACCTTTGGCTCCTCCCCTCCTTTACAGTCCTGGAACCGCCCCTGCTTCGCAGCCAGAATGAACGGTTCAATGGAAATGGATTTGGTGGGACGTCGTCTCCACAGTGTGGTGGCGGATAAGGCGTTAGGTCGTTGCCCTCGCAGCAGTCGCAGTCCTCGCCAATGAGGGGTGTGGTGCAAATAGACTTACCACGACCCCTACCTTGGAACCCCCTTTCCCCCTCTCTCCCCCCTTTCTCCCCTCCCCGACATAAAGATGCGAATTTCAGCGAGCGTGTGAGGTCGTGGTGTAGTAGTACATCACGCGCGTGATGTGTTGGCACGGCTGCTCGAGGTGTTGGTCCTAGAGGCCGTGTGTGTGCGTGTCTGTCTGTCTGTCTGTCTGTCTGTCTGTCTGTCTGTCTGTCTGTCTGTCTGTCTGTCTCTGTCCATCTGTCTCTGTGAGTCTGAGTCTGCCTCTGTGCTTACGTGCGCGCTGCGAGGTGCTCCAATCCGTATGTCAAAGTAAGAAAAGAAAATTCGCCGGAAAAGAAGCGAGACAAAATTCGACGATACTGCCAGCAAAATAACAATACGGGCAAGGGAGGAGTCGGAAAGGGAAAGTCCCACAAAGTAATCCGATCCGCAGCACGCAGGATGAATTTTAAACTTGTTCAGCGAATTTTACCGCCAACCCTCACGTACCGTGACCCCGACGGCTTATGAAAAATGAGTAAAATGAGTTTAGTCGATCTTGTTTGTAGTAACAGAATGTTGCTTTGAAAGTGGCGCCCGTTTCACCGGTTGGGAAACCTCAGTGGGCACTCTGGCGCGAACTCAGGCGTGCCGCTGCACTTTGGCACTTTGGCGCGGTCGAGCCGTTAACGTGGCAAACGTTCAACGGAGACGGTCCCACCTGCGCTGCGATTCTCAGCCGTACCGTCGCACAGTGGGCCAGAAGACCGGTGGAGGCGGCCAAAACCCAAGACGCGTTTTGAGCTCCAGAGTCGCTAAACAGGGCTCGAACTTAGCGTGTGACCCCACCAATTGATTCCTCGTTCGGGGAGCAATCCATTGGTGGGGTCACACGTTCGCAATCGGCGGTGCTCTTGGCCAGGGGGACTCAATTCGATCAATAATTTTGGCGATGGATCGAGCGAAGCGACCAAAGCGGGAACTGAGGTGCATAGCCACGCCGGCCTCACCTGTCACCGTGTCCATCGTGTCAAGGCGAGAGGGCGACCAACCGCATCGCCGGCTATCGTTTCGCCCCGCCGGTCTGTCTGCCTGTATGTCGGCCTGTCTGTCTGTCTGTCTGTCTGTCTGTCTGTCTGTCTGTCTGTCTGTCTGTCTGTCTGTCTGTCTGTCTGTCTGTCTGTCTGTCTGTCTGTCTGTCTGTCTGTCTGTCTGTCTGTCTGTCTGTCTGTCTGTCTGTCTGTCTGCCTGTCTGTCTGTCTGTCTGTCTGTCTGTCTGTCTGTCTGTCTGTCTGTCTGTCTACCTGCCTAGGACCCGGAAAGAGGGGGGCGTAGGCGTAGGTTGGCAACTTTTTGGAAAACCCCCTGAACACGTCTCCTCTGGATCCACCATTTTGCCTTCTCGCGGATGGCCGGTCCCCCCGCCTTCCGCACAGCCTCCGCGTAGGGCGTGTGGTGGGTGCGATAGCGCGACGCAGTCGACTGTAAAAGAGCCAACTAGCCCCCCCCCCAGTCTACTCTCCTTACCTCACACTAGGACAGACAGGCAGACCACAGAGGCAAGCAGACAGATAGACACACACACACACACACACACACACACACACACAGAGACAGGAAGACAGACAGACAGACAGACAGTTAGACAGGACGGAGTGCACTGATGCAGTGCGTAGAAGATAAGAAGCTGGAGGCTGGCTGGTCTAGGAGGCAGTGAAGCAGGTCCTCCAAGCGAAGTCAGATTTTAGCTTTCCGGTAGGCAGATTTTCCCAGTCGCACCAAAACATAATTTTCCACGCGCGCGCGCGTGTGTGCCTGTCAGTCTGCCTGTCTGTACGTCTGTGTCTGGTGTATGGGAGGGGGGTTAGAGATTGTTTCCGCCACAATTAAATGGTTGCAGTAACGTTGGACCAGCTGGCGGGTGCCGGGTGCGTCGCCACAGGTTGCCTATACGATCGGCTATCTACGTATCTCCTTCCTCAGGCAGCAATCAGTCCCCCATATGTTGTATACAGGCGGCCCTGTTGGCGTTTCAGCACACGTAGTTTGGGTTGCTGTTCACTGCAAACCTAAGTGTGCACTCACATAGAACGCTTAAGTTGCGTACCGGTTCACACTTGGGTTTTCGGTGTGCGAGTAACTAACTCTTAGGATCGACAACGAACCACGAAGCAATTGCTCTGTGACTGTTCAGTCAAGTTTGTTGTCGTTTCATGAATTTCAGACGGAGAGCGAGAGTGCGACGGGAGCCTCACGCTGCCGTTTTGTGTCGATCAGTGTGCCGACCTTATCTCGCTGATCGTTGCGAGAGGTCTGGGAGAGTGTCTGGCCGTCCCGCCATTCAGCGGAGATTAGGACCAGCCGAGATTACGGCGCGTCCAAGATCGCCAATTCATTTCACTGTCATTTTTTTTCTGAAACCATGACGCACCACAGTGGGCCAGAAGACCGGTGGAGGCGGCCAAAACTCTGGACGCGTTTTGAGCCCCAGACCAGAGTCGCTAAATGGGACTCGAACCGAACGTGTGACCTCACCAATGGATTCCTCGTTCGGAGAGCAATCCATTGGTAGGGTCACGTTCGGCTCGAGTCCCATTTAGCGACTCTGGAGCTCAACGCGTCCGGGGATTTGGCCGCCTTCGGCCAACTTAGTGACGCCACGCTTCTCTGTGGGACATCTTTCTGTTTCAGGAGTAGGAAAGGGAGACAAAGAGAGAAAGAGAGAGTTCGGGTTCGGCATTGGGCATAACGGATGAGTCTGGCAGAATCGAATCTAGCGATCAATGCAATGGGTGTGCAAAGGGTTCTGCGACGAACACGCGACACATGGGGCCTAGAGTGGGTGTCTAGCCACCCCGACCTTGACAGAGGGAGAGAGGGGGAGAGGGGGGCAGGGGGTGGTGTGGGCGGCGGCGGGGGTTTCTTTGCAAATCCCTATGGCGGCGGCGAGCCTTTTGTTTCCTTTCGTTATTTCCGAACAGTCCTTTTCGTCGGCCTGTCCACGCCACTACGGAGCGCCCCATGCGTGCGACAGGGACAGAGGCCAGTGGTAAGGGGAGAGACGCGATACACAGTGCGGTGGAGACGATCAAAACCCCGGGACGGGTTCTGAGCTCCAGAGTCGCTAAACGGGACTCGAACCGAACGTGTGACCCCACCAATGGATTGCTCTCCGAACGAGGAATTCGTTGGTGGGTTCACACGCTCTGTTCCAGTCCCATTTAGCGACTCTGGAGCTCAAAACGCGTCTAGAGTTTTGGCCGCGGGCGCGGCACCTGTCCGAAGACGTGCCGAAATGTCGAACGTGCGGCTTGCGGCGCGCGCAGTTCGGCTCTGCGGCCGTAGCGCCACCACAGCCGGCCAGCCGGCCCTAGGGGCAGCCCGCGCCCACTGAGCTTTCTTCTAAATTTAATTCCCAGAGAGCGCGGCGCGGTTGGGCGTGGCGGGGTATGGCGGGGTGCGGCGGGGCGTGCCATGTGCTACCACCACCGGGGGAGGGCCGACAAAAGAACACGGTGAAGTAGGGAGGGGTGGACACACGTGAAGGGTTCACGCCACCGTACCCCGTTAATTAATTACTGAATTGATTAATTGATTGATTGACAATTTAATTGTTTCTTTGGCTGCCCTTCTTGTGACCCCACCAATGGATTCCTCGTTCGGAGAGCAATCGATCGGTGAGGTCACACGTTCGGTTCGAGTCCCGTTCAGCGACTCTGGAGCTCAAAACGCGTCCGTGATTTTGACCGCCTTGGGTCTTCTGGCCCACTGTGCGACCCCGACCCGTCTGCACTCCTGGTACCCGCTACCCTCTCTAGCCGTGTCGCAAAGCGGCTAACAACCCCATTGCCCCCTCCCCCCATTTTCCCCAGTGTCGTTGTCGGGGAGGCCGCCGGCAACCGGAAGCCCCGATCCCCGGCCCGGCTGGTGCTTCCCTCGGCGTCCCGGCACTGCAATTATTTTTCCAAACCACATTTTGGTCTTTGCTCTAGAGTCGCTAAATGGGACTCGAACGGATCGTGTGACCCCACCAATGGATTCCTCGTTCGAAGAGCAATCCATTGGTGGGGTCACACGTTCGGTTCGAGTCCCATTTAGCGACTCTGGAGCTCAAAACGCGTCCGGGGTTTTGACCACGCCGGTCTACTGTCCGCAGGTGCGCACGCCTTCTCCAGGAAGCACCCGCTGTCCTGCTGGCTGTCCACCATGCTGGTCATCTTTGCGGGCGGCATGCTCTGCAACGGACTCCTCGGCGAGCCCATCCTCGCCCCGCTCAAGAACACTCCCCAGCTCGCCGTCGCCACCATCGTGTGGTACATCGTCTTCTACACGCCGTTCGACATCGGCTACAAGGCCGCCAAGTTCCTGCCCGTCAAGATCGTCTGCTCGGGGATGAAGGAGGTCTATAGGTACGACCACTCCACGGTAAAAAAAAAGGGGGGCTCTTGGTTTTCCCAGGAACCCCCTGGAAATCGCCTATGTCTTTACCTATGTCTTTGTCTTGGGAAAAAACAGGAACCGGTTATACCGAATACCGTGTCTCGTAAGCGATCAACCACTCTGTCATTCGACTAATGTGACGTCACATTAGTTGAGATGTTAATTTTGTCACGTTCGTTTGAATACCCGGTCGTATAAACGTGACACGGCCGTTGAATTAGGATGTCACATTCGTTTGGACGTGGATCAACTTTCAGACGAACGTGACAAAATTAACTTTCTTACGTTTGTGACGTCAAAATCGTTGAATGACAGTGCAGCTTCCTATGTTTTTATGAGGTTTTTTTTTGCGGTTTTTGTTGTAACTGAATGTATCTTTTCTCTGCTATCAGGTGTAAAAAAGTTTACGACGGCGTGACCCACGCCGCGAAGCTCTACCCCAACGCCTACATCATTATGATTCTCATCGGAACCTTAAAAGGTGCGCATTTGCAGGCAGCCTGGTTGAGACACCCCCACAGCACAGTGGGCCAGAAGACCGGAGGAGGCGGTCGAAACTCTAGACGCGTTTTGAGCTCCACGGTCGCTAGATAGGACTGGAACCGAACGTGTGACCCCACCAATGGATCCCTCGTTCGGAAAGCAATCCATTGGTGGGGTCACACGTTCGGTTCGAGTCCCATTTAGCGACTCTGGAGCTCAAAGGCCATGAGATGTTGACCGCCTCCACCGGTCTTCTGGCCCACTGTGCGCCGCGTCTCTCCGCTGCTCTCTAACCGCCTCTCTCTGCCCAGGTAACGGCGCGGGATTCACCAAACTGCTAGAGAGACTGATCCGCGGCGTCTGGACCCCCACCGCCATGGAGTTCATGCAGCCCAGCTTGTGAGTGCTAAAGTGCCAAGCTCACAGTGGTGTCAGAAGACCCGCGCCGGCGGCCAAAACTCTAGACGCGTTTTGAGCTTTAGAGTCGCTAAACAGGACTCGAACCGAACGTGTGACCCCACCAATGGATTCCTCGTTCGGAGAGCAATCCATTGGTGGGGTCACACGTTCGGTTCGAGTCCCATTTAGCGACTCAGGAGCTTAAAATACGTCTGCACCGGTCTTCTGCCCCACTGTCAACCGGTGGCCGTGTTATGACTCTGTAAACGAGTTCGCCAGTCGCAGACACTGTAAACGTGTACCTCCCCTGTTGCAGCCCCACCAAGGCCTGCATCGTGGCCTCCATCATCTTCGTCCTGGACAAGAAGACCGACCTGATCTCGGCGCCGCACGCCCTCGTGTACTTCGGCATCGTCATCTTCTTCGTCTACTTCAAGGTGAGAGAGAAGCCCTGGCGCCTTTACCCTGGACGTCGCAGGCGCTAGCTGGCGCCGAGGTGGCATACTATCATGTGTGGTCTGGCCATTAATGGTAATGGTAATTAGGGGTAGGCAACCCACTCGCACCCGTGGGTTGCGGCACTGCCTACCCTGGACGTCGCAGGCGCTAGCAGGCGCCGAAATGGCATACTATCATGTGTGGTCTAGCCATTAATGGTAATGGTAATTAGGGGTAGGCAGCCCACTCGCACCCGTGGGTTGCGGCACTGCCTACCCTGGACGTCGCAGGCGCTAGCAGGCGCCTTTGTGGTAGGCAGCCCACTCGCACCCGTGGGTTGCGGCACTGCCTACCCTGGACGTCGCAGGCGCTAGCAGGCGCCTTTGTGGTAGGCAACCCACTCGCACCCGTGCGTTGCGGGACTGCCTACCCGGGACTCGGCGGGCGCTTCTTCCATGTGAACAAGCCAACAGCACTGGCAGAGCACTGGAAGAAGTGCACGGCCTGTGCGGAACGCCCAAGGAGTGCGAGAGAGACAGAGAGACTCACAGTTGTCCTCGGTGTTGCAGCTGTCCTCCATCCTGCTGGGCATCCACGACCCCTTCGTGCCGTTCGAGAATCTGTTCTGCGCCCTGTTCATGGGCGGCATCTGGGACTCGCTGGCCAAGGTCCTGGGCCGCGGCCCCAGCAAGGACGAGAACAAGGACCCCAAGAAGACCAACTAGAGGGGCAGCAGAGCATCAGCTCCGCCTGCGGTGAGTCCCTGCGGCCTGCGCACAGTGCGCCAGAAGACCGGTGGGGGCGGCCAAAATTCTAGACGCGTTTTGAGCTCCAGTGTCGCTGAATGGGACTCGAACCGGACCCCACCAATGGATTGCTCTCTGAACGAGGAATCCATTGGTGGGGTCACACGCTCAGTTCGAGTCCAGTTTAGCGAACAAGGAGCTCAATACGCATCTACAGTTTTGGCCGCCTCTACCGGCCTTCTGATCTACTGAGCAGCGGTCGGTGTTCGAGCTCCATCCAAGTGAGATTCTTTTTCAGCTAAGACGTTTAGGCCTATTGTGTTAAATCAATTTTGTATATTGTTTTTCAGGATTGGGAGAAAGGCTCTGGCGACTGACAGTGTATCCATCAGCGAACAAAGTGTGGAAGCAGGTTAATCTAGTCATTTAGGGCAGCTACAACGGGGTCGTGGAGTACAAAAACTCAAGAATGACTGCAATCCACAAAAACAACGAAGCTGTGTTTTAATAGGAAGCTAAATTTTGAAAGATACAAGACATTTTGTTACTTGTTGTCTCCATGCACCAATTTTATTTTTAATTTTTTTAAGCAACTTAAAATTGTACTGACTGGTTTTGAAAGAAATACCATTTTTTGGCCCGTGTAAAACTTGGACGGGCATATATTCTCCAGAAATGTAGGTCATCTACACCATGGATCTGCCAAAGAGTTGTTTATAACATTGACAAGGCATGTTACCTTGCCAGTATTAAGATATTTAAATTTATATTTTAAGTAAGTTTGTAAAGCTTGTCAATAGGCCATCATACTACAATTCACAAACTCAGTGGGTGCAGTTTGAAAGAGTTGGTATGATTGCCTAATGGAAGCATCATTTTCATAACATAATTTGTACAAAGGCACAATACAACTGGATTTGAAAATTAATAGGTGTCGATTTAATTAGAAATGATGAGTGATGGTGTGAGGAGGGAGAATGTAGAGGGCAATTTTAAGTTTTAAAATAACACTGTATTGATCAAACTGTACAATATACACAGTAACTAAGGGATACAATTATATTCAAACAAATATACAAAGTCGCAGTTAAAGCACAAGAAGCTAACATGACAGCTTGATAACGGATAACAAAATTGCCTATTTCATTTCATAACAGAAAGTTACTCTTGGCATAAAGAATTCTAATTTTCTGTCAAATTTGCCAACAATCTGGTCAAACAAAAATTAAAAGAACCTCTTTTAATTTAATTTATATGTACCTTTCTTAAATAACTCTCCTCAGGCACTCAAGAAAATAATAATTCCTTATGACAAACCATGACTTGAGGAGGCAAGAAAGAAAGCATCAACATTTTATTATTATTTATATGCATCGATAAAAATATATCTCCAAAACACACTTCTTCATTCACTCATTGACACACATTCTCGCACATTCACTCCAATTTCTCTTTGCTTTCAATGATCTTTATGTTTATCACAGATCTTTAACTAACAACAAAGAAATAATAATTTATCATATTGTACGAACCACTCTCTCCCACACAGAGAAAACTGGTACAAACTAAAAATCTAAATTCACTTATCACCATGGCCATGAGCAGAACCATCAAAAGCTTTGAAAATCACATAAATGAATCAAATTTTCTAGAGTTGGACTAGTTACTACTTTCAAAAGTGAAAATTCTAACTGTAATTGTTACGTAAGTAGGTAAAAAGTCCTCAAAAGTCAACAACCTCTGCGATGTAAAGCAGAGGAAAGCATGTTACAAAAGGGATGCTCAGTATAGACACCATATAAAAGTATGCATTTCCTTGGATGGAAAAAAGGTCCTGAAAGGAATGTGTGATGGGTATAACCTACAATTACCCTTCATGTCAAGCCGATATCAAGCACATTATCCTCACCAAAAAGTATTACAAAGTATGTTCCAAGGTGTGAAAAGGTCTGCCTCTTAAAGAGCATGGAGATTGGTTTACAGGTTCTGTTCAGCTCACAGACAAAGCAAACCAGCAAATTAGAGGTATAACTTCACCATTGATAATATAATTAAGCCTGCAATTTATGAGTCTGATTTTGCTACAAAATCAAGACCATTGCAGTCAATGCACACGTGACACAAAGACAGCAAGCCAGAGCATTTGTTACAATTTAGTTAGGTCCACAAGTATCATGCAGAGATACAGGTCGAAAGAAGGGGCAACAAAAGGGAAGGCTACAAAACTGGTCCCTTAGATATGCAAATGATAAATTAAACATCAAAACAAAACAAGAACACAGACTGCAAGAAAATTTCTCGTCCTTACAGAAATGATGCATGACCCAGAAAAAACAAAGTAAGAATCGCGAGGAAGAAAAAACTTCAGTCGTCAAAGTGTCAAATCTCCAAATGACTCTCACTCCAAGCAAACCTCCCATCACATGAACACATGGAGCGAGACAGGCAATAACAGCATTGCGCTGCTCTATGAAAAGTACAAATACCACCAGTGTTACTCACAACAAACTAATTGTATCAACAAAAAGAAAAAAGTACACAAGTGGGGACTTCCATAAATAACATCTCTCCAAAGCTTTATACTGACCCTTAATGAAATTAATATTTGCCACACTCAATAGAAAATAAAACCGATCATGTTGACCAGCCTTTCTTTGGAATACATAATGCAAATGTTCAAATGAAAACATGAGATGGTGTATGTAGAAACCACTTGATTGAATGACTTACAAAGAGTCATTATTATAAGCTAACAAACCAATAAATTATAATAAATATTCTTTTTGATATGAATATTTTTGGCTTCACAAATTAAGCATGTTCATTAATTAAGGGCATCTGATTAGTAGATTTCAAAGAGCTAACTTTTTTTTTGTTTTAAGCAAGAAAAGAATCTTTACTACTCCTACGTTACTTTTTTTGTTTTCTTTTTTTGTTTCCCATTTTTAAGAAGAGCTATTGGACATAATCAGTAAGAATTTCTTGTATCACAACTCACTAAACAGATTATGGCTTTTTTCGTCATTCAAAATTTGGAATTGGCACTGGAGTGAAAATCTAGCATCCCATTTCCAACAGTAAAAAAATTAACCTCTTAATAAATGAGTTTGAATGAGATAGGAATGTAAGAAGCAAGACCCTTTGAGATTTTAAAATTTAAAGGGGGGGAAAAACCTTTTTGGGCCTTACAACAATACTCCTTCCAGCAATAAACAATAACTGAAAAATATGGAATCATTGCAGAACTTTCAGCTCAAATATTTCAAATATTTCTAATAACAGGATGAAACAGGGAAGAACAGTGCTGTTGGAAGGTACTACTATTATTACTATTATTACCGAAGAAAGATCCTTTCTCCAAAGCTCAATCAAAATTTCCAATCGCTAATTTTCAAAAATTTGAAACATAATCTAAATGAAGCTGGCTAATGGTGTTGCTGTCATCGACACCACCACCAAACCAGAGTGGTAACATTAAAGTGCTTAGAAGGAGCGATGTGTATGTCTATGCTCTTCCAAACCAATGATCACAGATGTGCTGGGTGCGCCCCGGAGAAACAATGTTTGCTCCTTACTTAGATGACTCCCGGCTGCTCCGGTATGAGAGAAGCGAAGAAGCTCGTAAAGAAGGTCCACGTCAAGGCTAAGAGAGATGGTCTGTCAGGCACAGGAGGTTGAGCTGGGGCTCCAGCTGCTGGCACGACTCCCTCTGCATTATTCTCTGGTGTTTCGGCATTGCCCTCAGCCCCATCTACAAACAAGAGGAAAGAATCAAGAGCAATTAACAACACTGTACAGCCAAGGTGAACTGCCTAGCAAAGAGCAACACAGCAACAGAACAAGTGCCCTACCTGCATGGGGTGCAGGCGCAGCAGGTGCAGGTGGTGCCGCAGCAGCAGCAGCGGCAGCTGCAGCTGGGTTCGCTTCGCCAGGGGGCTGGTGATTGTTGTTATTGTCATTGTTTACATTATTTGCCGCAGCTGCAGCTGCATCAACTCTTGCTGGATCATTGTTGTTATCGACCACTTGAACAATTTCATCAAGAGGTCTGAAGAAACCAATCTTGTACCTGACACAGAAAAATAGCAAGCATAAGATACGACGAAATCAAACTGAAATTTAAGCACATTTTGCATGGGAAACTTACAGGTACATCAAGAGGGCAAGGCAGAAGACAAACAGAAACCGCATGGGAGTTGTGTAGAAGTATATAAAGGCAAAAACAGCAGCAGCACGGCTCGTCATGTAGAACCAGTCCAGCCAATCTCGGCCTCCATTTTCATCCTCTTCGCCTTCTTCAGCTCCAGCAGCCCGTTCCACATTGCCTGTGCCAAGGCATTGCATTCAATTTAATTAAACCGTGATAGAATAACAGAATAAAACAACATGCAAAGGAGAAGAAAAGTATACCTGCTTGGCCCGGGGCTGCACCAGGTTGCTCAAAGTTAGGCTGTGGGCCACGCACTGAGACATTCGGGGGCAGCTGCCAAGGGAATGGGCTCGCTGATCCTTGAGACATCCTTTTTTTGCAAGAAAATAAAATAAAATATTTATGACACGAATGAACCTGGGGTAGTTTAGATCAGAGTTCAAATAGTGCTCGAGACTTACATTTGCATATACTGGGTCATGTACTGCGCATACGCCTGATGCATCCACGCCGCATACTGAGCGTGTGTCCATGGATTGACCTGAGGAGGGACGTAAGGCGGCATTTGTGGGAACTGAGCAAATGGAGGGATTTGAGGTCCAGGGTAGAAGGGAGGTATTGCCTGGCGAGGATCTGGGGCAGGGGGGGCTGGACCTTCCGGCCCTGACGGCTGAGAGGGGTGTGTATTTACAGAAGGGCTGGAGTGGGATCTGGTGTTGTCAGGAACATTGCTTGAACTACTAGCAGCGCTGCTGCTGTTGGCATTGACACTAGAGTTGCTGCTACTTGCGCCTGCACTGCTCGCACTAGCACCTTGAGCACCTGTGTGCCTTCTCCGAATTTCACTTGATGTTCCAGCAGCATCTAAAAAAAATTCCACAAAAAAACCAATTAATAAGGTTAAAAAGTAAGTGAGGCCACATAAATGAGCAATATGAAAGTATTTAACAAACCTGGCTTTTTCGGAGGAACCATAGAGTTTCTGGCACAAACTAGATGCACTGTGTGCTGGTCTTGACCTTCTTCATATGTACGCAGAACTTCACGTAGGGTGCATGAATCATTGAGTAAATGTCCGGAGTAAATTAGTTTCTGTTCTTCTGTGCGCTGGATGTGAAAAACATGTGTTAAAAAACAGTATGGCGTTTGCAGAAATAATCTTGAAATAAAGTAATTGATATGCAGAGAACTTACAGGTTTGCTTGGGTATACCTCCGACAAGTATCCCTTTAAATGCTTGATTGTCCAGCTGAGATCGCACTGAATAGTTTGATCTTCAATTTGCTGGTTAGGCGCTTTCACTATCAATGTCACCGACATGTCTAAAGAGCTCATCACCCCAGTGCTGAAACAAAACATAACCAAATTCAAGTACAGCACATACAAGAAGAACACAACAGAGTAATATGGTTGGGGAAGGTAAGTGCAACGGAAACAGAATTAAGCTTTCAGTGACTTGGCAAGTGATATCAAAGGAAGAACTTATACACTGTTTGGATGGGGGAATATCAATTGAATTGACAAGGACTGATGAGACGTCTAATAGGATGTATTATTGAAGAAGACAGACCTTGTGCAGTAGGAAATAAACGGTTTAAATCAAAAGAGAAGGCCGAATTTTGACAAACAAATGTTCGGATTCATTTGGGCATCGCTGTTGCGTCGGAAAAGTACACAATCAGTTATCTACATTCGCATCTAGGCCTGAGAGCGAGGACGAGAGAAAGCGTTTCAGCCTACTGTAGTCATACCGAACACTTACCAAAACGCTTTAGCCCTACGGTGACGTTCACTGAGAAAGTGTCTGATCATTAAAATCCCGACTTAACAGGAAGAAACTCGACAACCCACTTTCATCAGAAAGTAGGATATCTGTGATTGTTTTTATTTTGAGATGATGGAGGCTGTCTGCTACACTTTCGCGAGCGCACCAAAGGCGACTTTTGCCCTACGGTTCGCCTTGAAACGTGTGGCAAATAACTAGTATTATAACTAGAGATACGTTAGCGTAAGCCCATCTCCCCATCAAATCATCTTCGTAAAAATACTGACCCAACAAGACGAATATTTTTATACAAATAACAGAAACTGAAGAACTGTATTGGAAAGATATTTGGCTTGCTATGATTGGTTGAAATTATTAGACCACCTCCTTTGCTGTCATTGGTGGAAGGATTGACCATTTTAGACCATGTGGAACAGCTTTCCGCAAAAAAAGCGTCTTTCAGCGTTTTAAAAAAAGGAAAAGCACCGTTTAATAAAAGAAAAATGATTTTTCACTTTTTTCACAATGTTTAATTTTGCATAGCACCTTAAACCTTCAATTTCGACTTTCAAGGACCAGCTCCGCTGTCAGATGGGTTAGGAACGGATCCCGGCTGTGCGTTTGATGAAATCGAAATGATTTTGAAAGGGGATTCGTGCTTGACGTATTGTACTTAAGTTCACTGTCAGCTGATACCTACGAATTATTTTGCCAGCAAATTCCTTTGTCGATTATAGTAACATGGCGCTGTCATTTAGTTTCAACTCAGGAAAATGCCATTGCTGCTCATATGTAGTCAAGAGGTTATGTACTTAACCCTCGCTTTGAGCTTTCTGCTCTGTTTATTTGAATGAGGCAGCATGTTGTGTTTATGACATTTGCTGTTGAACATTCAGACAACGAAGTACCTAATTCCTAATTTCGGTGATGTTTGTACATATTACAAGGCTTTATTGCCTTGCCTGTTTGATGCATTTATTTTTCTGAGCTTTAAAAAGTTATGATGATGGAGAATAATAACAAAGAATCCTTCAAGCTCCTGTCAGTTGTTGGGAGTGGGAGTGATTCTGAATCAGAAGTTCCTGAATTTGTACTTACACCTAAGAAAAAACGACTGAAAAGGTAAGACAATGCTCCTTGAGACTGCAAACTTGTTGGGCCCTTTCTGTGACTGCCCAGGATGCCCTTGAACCCCGTGTATGAATCGCTGCGTCCCATCCATCCATTTGTCTGTCCCCAGGCGAGTGCGAGCCAATCACTCGATCACGAGAACACGTGATCCAAATGCAACAGTGACGTGTGGAAGAAAAAGCATATCCCTGGTATTAGCAGCAGTATTTCTATTTTGTTGGCTGTGCACTTTATCCTGGCTCACAGTCCTCCTGCACGGCAACATCCAGCAACTCGACGAGATGGTTGGTCGAGGTGAGTCTGTCCTTCCCTTACGCTGTGCGCTTTACGAGGAGCCAAGTGCATGCTGCTTTCCGTTGACCTGCCTGTCGCAAAGTGCTGAACCAAGGATTACCACATGTGGCAAATACCGCTTTATCAGTGAGATAAGGGGATCGAGGTTTTTCAAACGTCGCACCTGAGGACCTGTTGAAAGCACAGCGTGTTGAAAGCGGTGTCGCCTGCCGCTCTTTTTGCGGGTAGCAATTGGCCCTCTCGCCTCGCTGAGGGCCGCGCCGCTTTGTTTCTGTTGTTTTTCTTTTTTTTCGGAGTGTTCAGAGTACTGCTGCCGAATCGCCGTCGTCGGGGATAATGGGTCTTCCTTCTTCACCGTCGCTCTGTCTCTCTCGCACTCAGGGGCGCGCGCTGTGGGTGCGAGAGAGACAGAGCGACGAACCGATCCTTCGGAACCGCGCGTTGCAGGTCGGTGCGCGACACTGGTAGAAAAAAAGTATGGAAAAGTACGGACCATGTCTGGTTAATCATTTTACCTGGACCGTCTGTGCTTCGCCTTCAAAACTACGGAGGCTCCGTACATCTTTTCCGTACCACTTTACATGAGATCTTTGTGGCGACTACGGACGGTCCGTACATTTTCCGTACCCATGTTCCGTAAACAAACATCGGAATTTCTTGCAGTGGAGGTGCGGTGCGGGCAACAGCGTTGCTCTCGATTTCATTATTCGTCGGCACGTCGCTTACACGCTCAAAGAAGTAGTCCTGGGTGTTTGTGTTCGTCCCCGTGTGTCTGTGTGTGCGAGAGAGAGAGACAGAGACTCGGTATTCAAATCGTGCAGCGCTAGCGCCAGGCCAGCGTTTAGCTCGAGGTACACTGCGCGGCACCGTCGTTTTCCGTTCCACCGAGCGCACAGTGGGTCAGTAGACCGGTGGAGGCGGCCAAAATCCCGGACGCGTTTTGAGCTCCAGAGTCGCTTATGGGACGCGAACCGAACGTGTGACCCCACCAATGGATTCCTCGTTCGGAGAGCAATCCATTGGTAGGGTTACACGTTCGGTTCGAGTCCCGGTTAGCGACTCTGGAGCTCAAAACGCGTCTGGAGTTTTGGCCGCCTCCACCGGTCTTCTGGCCCACTGTGAGGTTCCCCGCTGCCCAAACAGGCAGCCCGCCGCTTCTCTTCCCTCTGTGCTCAGTGCCGTGTGCGCCACACTGTAGGCTTGCGAGTCGCCGCGCGAACGTGACCGTCGTCACCGGAAGCTGCTCTGCCGTACGGAGGCACTGCTCCTCCAGGCTTACTCCGAGAGCCGCTTTCGTCGCCCTGTCTCTCTCGCACCCCTACGGGACGCCCCATGAGTGCGAGAGAGACAGGGCGACGAAAGCGACTCCCGGAATCAGTCTGCAGCCGGCGAAGGTGACCCGGTCGGGCGACGGACATGCCGCAGAGTGGGCCGGAGGCGGCCAAAACTCTAGACGCGTTTTGATCTCCAGAGTCGCTAAATGGGACTCGAACCGTACGTGTGACCCCACCAATGGATTCCTCGTTCGGAGAGCAATCCATTGGTGGGGTCACACGATGGTTTCGAGTCCCATTTAGCGACTCTGGAGCTCAAAACGCGTCTAGAGTTTTGGCCGCCTCCACCGGTCTTCTGGCCCACTGTGTGGCGTGCCTCGACGGACGCGGCGATGAACACCTTGCGGCGCGCGGAGGCCCAGAGGAGGTCCAGCCGGGGGAGGGGAGGGGGAGGGGTCCTGCTAACTAGCTTTGGCTTGTTTTTCCGATGCGCTCTGTAAGCGGCTCCAAGCCGCGCGAAGCCCCTCATACGCCACGAAGCGTCTGCCTTCCACTTTGAGCCCCCACCCCACACGACCCGCTCACTCATGTCTAAGAATCGCTGTCTCTCTCGCACTCGTGGGACGGTCCGTAGGGGTGCGAGAGAGACAGAGCGACGAAACGACCCTTCGGAATCAGACGGCCGGCACATCGCGACCTGCAAGGGTTGCAGCATGCAGCCGAGCCGCCGTGAAGAATCGTTTCGTCGCTCTGTCGCTGTCGCACTCGTGGGGCGGTCCGTAGGGGTGCGAGAGAGCGAGAGAGAGAGAGAGAGAGAGAGAGAGAGAGAGAGAGAGAGAGAGAGAGCAGACCAGAAGGAGGACACGTTTGCTCCCCCGGACGAGACACCCTGCCGTTCTCTCCCGAGTGGCGGTGGCGCGGTGGCGTAGGTCGGGGCTGTGCGGTGGCGCCCCCTGACGGGCTGCCGCGCCCCACCCCACCCGCCCCGCCCCGCCCCGCCCCGCCCCGCCCCGCCACGTCTTCGGCCCGATCAATGAAGCCTCGGTAGGTCCCTCGGGCAAGGCTTTGGCGTGGCTACGGCTTGGCGCCCTGGCTCCGGTAGGCGCTTTTCCGCGCCTCGGCTCGGCTCAGCAGACTGATTCCGAGGGTCGCTTTCGTCGCTCTGTCTCTCTCGCACCTACACGGGACGCCCCATGAGTGCGAGAGAGTCGGAGCGACGAAAACGACTCTCGGAATCAGTCTGCTGAAGGCAGGGCCCGGCTCGCTCGGCTCGGCTGCCCCTGTCCTGCCACCCCTGAGCTAGCCGGGCCAGGCCGGGCGAGCCGGCGGGGGGCTGACGCCTTGCTGACACGACCTGCCAAAACGTGGCGGCAATCAACGCACCGAAGGGCCGACGGAAGGGGAGGGGGAGGGCGCTGCCCCGTAGGGCCGCACAGTGGGCCAGAAGACCGGTGCAGGCGGCCAAAAATCTAGACGCGTTTTGAGCTCTAGAGTCGCTAAGCGGAACTCGAACCGAACGTGTGACCCCACCAATGGATTCCTCTCCGAACGAGGAACCCATTGGTGGGGTCACATTGGTGGGGAACGTGTGACCCCACCAATGGATTCCTCTCCGAACGAGGAACCCATTGGTGGGGTCACACGTTCGGTTCGAGTTCCGCTTAGCGACTCTAGAGCTCAAAACGCGTCCAGATTTTTGGCCGCCTCCACCGGTCTTCTGGCCCACTGAGGGCTGTCCCTTGGAAGGGCGCAGGGCTGCTCTCGGCGAGCGCAAGGGCTGTCTGGAAGGGCTGCTCACTGCCGTGCGGCTTTTCCATGTGAGGGTGTTTCCAATAAGGGTTGTTCCTAAGGGCTGTTCTGAAGGGCGGCCCAGTAGGTCTGTCTGTTGTGGCCGCGGGGCTGTGCGTGCGACATCGACACTAGCGGTGTGGACGCGCCCCGAAGTGCTGGTTGCTGGTCGGGGCGCGTTGGGGGCTGGCCTGGCTGGCCCGCTGGCCGCCGTGGGGAGGGTGGGTGGCGCGTCGGGCTCGCCTCCGCCAGGCTCTGCCAGGCTCGGCGCAGCGATGGCCTTCCCGGCCGCCCGCCCCGCCAGCCGCCCGAACTCGGAACTCAGTCTGCGCTCGACTCCGCTCGGCTCTGCGCTCCCCGGTGCGCGCACCGTGTTTCACAGTGTGACGCGAGGCATGCGCGGCCAGGGCCTTGTTCGCGTCCAGCAGGGACCGTCGGCGAGGTGCTGAGGACGGCGTCGTGCGCGCGGGGGGCGGTCGCGGGCTGCCGCCATCGCGGTGCTCGTGGCAGGGCGGCGCCGCGTCGGCAGGCAGGCGCCGCGCTGGTCCCCGGAGGGCGTCTTCGCGGTGCTCGCCGACCGCGTCGCCGACGATGGCTGCGACGGCCACGGGCTGGAGGGGGTCGCCATGTCGCCGCGGGGCCCGGACATGTCCCCGGACATCGCGCTGAGGTACGCCAGTGCGGAGGGCGCCGAGGGCGCGGCTACCCCAGGGCACCCCCGGGTAACCCTACCTTGGGTAACCCGTGGCACAGTGGGCCAGAAGACCGGTGGAGGCGGCCAAAACTCCAGACGCGTTTTGAGCTCCAGAGTCGCTAAACAGGACTCGAACCGAGCGTGTGACCCCACCAATGGATTCCACGTTCGGAGAGCAATCCATTGGTGGGGTTACACGTTCGGTTCGAGTCCCGTTTAGCGACTCTGGAGCTCAAAACGCGTCTGGAGTTTTAGCCGCCTCCACGGTCTTCTGGCCCACTGTGCCTTGGGGTAGCCCGCGCCCCAACTCGCCGCCCAGGCATATCGCCGTCCAAAGTGGCATTGCTCTTCGCCGCGTCTGTGACTCGCCGTTCGAACTGGGGTGTCGAATGGGTCGCGTTGCGCTGCGTGGCGCGGGGGAGGCCTCCGCTCGGTGGCGACGGAGGTTGGAGGTTAGGTTCCCCGCCGTCCCGTCATTGCTTTTCTGTTTGCTGTTTGCGCGGGGCGGCGCGGGGCGTGGGGTTGCTGGCCGTGTGGGTGTTGGGGGACCCTGGGGAGGAGGAGGAGGGGGGGGCGCCCTTAATCAAGCAGGGAAGCTGAAGCGGAAGGCGAAATGTGCGGAGTTGGGGGGATGCAGGGCAGGGCGGCGTGCAGAGTGGAGCGTGCGGTGGGCGCTCTGCATGTAAAAGGGGAGACCCCCCCGAACAACATTGTTATTTTATGCAACACCGTAAACGAGGCGCATAGCCGCTTCCCGCCTAAACGCACGTAGAGCGAGATGCGTGAGAGGAGAGAGAGAGAGAGAGAGAGAGAGAGAGAGAGAGAGAGAGAGAGAGAGAGTGAGTGTGAGTGAAGTGTGAGTGAGTGTGAGTGAGTGAGTGTGAGTGAGTGAGTGAGTGAGTGAGTGAGTGAGTGAGTGAGTGAGTGAGTGAGTGAGTGAGTGAGTGAGTGAGTGAGTGAGTGAGTGAGTGAGTGAGTGAGTGAGTGAGTGAGTGAGTGAGTGAGTGAGTGAGTGAGTGAGTGAGTGAGTGAGTGAGTGAGTGAGAAAGTGAGTGAGTGAGTGATCTCAGTCGACCCTGGGCAGCCCGTGGAACACGAAGGGGACAGTGAGGCGTTCAGGACGAGCATTTTGCACGGCTTGTTTACCTTCGCCTGCGCTCAGAAAAAGGAAAAGAAACTCGCGAGAACGGGAGGGAGGTGGGGAGGGGTGACTCCAATCCGGAAGGAAGTCCGGAGTATTGGCCGCTGTCTGTCCCGCTCGCACTCTCGAGGTGACCCGTGTTCGTGCGAGAGAGTTAGAGCGCTCTGTCTCTCTCGCACCTCTACGGGACGCAAATGAGTGTGAGAGAGACAAAGCGCCGGAAACGACTCTCGGAATCAGTCTGCTGACTTGTTTACACCGAGTGGAGGTTTTCGCTCTCACGGCAGAGCACCGACTCTGGAGGTGTGACCTCTGTGGCCGCACAGCACAGTGGGCTAGAAGACCGGTGGAGGTGGTCAAAATTCCGGACGGGTTTTAAGCTTCAGTGTCGCTAAATGGGACTCGAACTTAACGCGTGACCCCACCAATGGATTGCTCTCAGAATGAGGAATCCATTGGTGGGATCACACGTTCGGTTCGAGTCCCATTTAGCGACTCTGGAGCTCGAAACGCGTTGCGATTTTTGGCCTCAACCGGTCTTCTGGCCCACTGTGTCATGGGGCGTGCGAAAAAGACAGATCGCCGAAACGATGTTGTTCGGAATCGCTCTGCAGATCGGCCACAGCCAAGCGTGTCCCTCTCTTCGCCTCTTCGTCGAATCTCGATGAATCTAAAAATATCGAGACGCCGGTTCGATGCGCCCGATATTTAAATATTTATCCCCGGCGCTTTTTCTGCCGGCCCCCTCCCCTCGTTGACAGCTGCTGCCAGAGGCCAAGCACGTCGGGATGGAAGTGAATTTTGATTAGTCTGACCGCGAAAGTCCCTCCTCCCCCATCCCCCCCTCTCTCTCTCTCTCTCTCTCTCTCTCTCTCTCTCTCTCTCTCTCTCTCTCTCTCTCTCTCTCCTGTCCCCCTCGCCCTCATGCGTGTGTGTGAGGAGGTCAGGGACGCAGGGGGGACGCCGCTTGCGCTTTTATTCCCAGTGCAAGAAACGGTCTAAATGGAACGGGAAGAATAAAAAGCCCAGTCGTTTGGTCGCTCTGTCTCTCTCGCACTCACGGGGCTCTCCGTCATAGTGCGAGAGAGACAGAGCGACAGACTGATCTTCAGATTCGCTCCGCAGCACGTGGCGCGCTGGCGCGATGCGATATTAAAACTCTGCGGCGTAGCGAACTTTCTTCCGGCGATCCGATGCAGGCGTCCCTTTGGCAGTGTAGGCGGCTGGCATTGGCAGTGAGTCGCGGCACGGCGAGGCAAGACACTGCCAAGGCCGCGTCGCCATCGGTCCGGCCCGTCTGGCCGTCGGGCAAGGGCGAGGGGGTCGTGGAGGGGCGGGGAGGGGAGGCTGCACTGGAAGTCTCGCCGCGCCGCGGACGCGCCACTCTCTGGCGCCTGCCAGCGTAGGCAACCGAGCCCCGCACAGTGGATTTGCCAGAAGACCGGTGGAGGCGGCCAAAACCCCGGACGCGTTTTGAGCTCCAGAGTCGCTAAACATGACTCGAACCGAACGAGTGACCCCACCAATGGATTGCTCTCCGAACGAGGAACCCATTGGTGGGGTCACACGTTCGGTTCGAGTCCCATTTAGCGACTCTGGAGCTCAAAACGCGTCCAGAGTTTTGGCCGCCTCCACCGGTCTTCTGGCCGATTGGTCTGCCGGAACTTGAGAGGCATCACGCCCGCCTGCGAAGGGCAGGGTAGGCAACCGACCCCCGCTCCACGCTTGGGTGTGTAACTGGATTGCCTACCCTGCACTTCGCAGGCGCCAAGCCGTGGTCCAGCGCGCCTGCGAAGATCAGGGTAGGCAACCCAACGGCGCTCCACGCACGTGTGTGAAACTGGTGGCCTACCCTGCACTTCGCAGGCGCTCGGAAGAGGAACCGTGCCGCGGCGCTGCACAGTGGGCCAGAAGACCGGCGGAGGCGGCCAAAACTCTAGACGCGTTTTGAGCTCCAGAGTCGCTAAATTGGACTCTAACCGAACGTGTGACCCCACCAATGGATTGCTCTCCGAACGAGGAATGCGTTTGTGGGGTCATACGCTCGGTTCGAGTCTTGCTTAACGACTCTGGAGCTCAAAACGCGTCTGGAGTTTTGACCGCCCCCACCGGTCTTCTGGCCCGCTGTGCACTCCGGGTCTACCGTTGGTTGTACCGCGTGTCCCTTGCAGTCGGTCTCTTGGCTTTTTCGAGCGGGTGTGAACAGCGAGTCACAGACGTGGTAGGCAAAGACGCGGTGCGCGGGTCTGCGGCGTGGAAGCAACTCTGTCTCTGCTCCCAGGGACGCTAGCTGCGCTAGCTGGGGCATGGAGGGCGGCGGCCTGCCCCTGCGAGTGCCGGTGCGGCCGTCGGCGGCGTCCTCGGGCCCCGGCCAGGGCTCGGCCGGCATGGCCATGGGCGGCATGGGGTCGCTGGGCGTGGGCGGCGGCCTTGGCGGCTCGGCCGGCCCGGGCACCAAGAAGATGCGCAAGAGGAAGGAGCTGGACGCGCTCGCCAAGCGCTGCCCCACGTCCAACGGCGTGCACAAGCGCTGCAACGGCCACGGCGGCCACGCGGCCGGCGGGCTGTCTAGCCATGACCAGCTCTTGTCGGAGAGCTCCGGCGACGACTCGGCGCTGCCCGGCTTCAAGCCCGGCTACGCGCTCGGCGCCGGCTACACCCTGGGCCTCGGCGGCCACGGCTACACCCCAGGCTTCGCCGTCAAGCGGCGCCGCCCCGCCCGGCCCTACGCGCAGCTCGCGCAGCTGCAGCGGCCCTGCGCCCAGGTGGTGCGCGCCTGCGTCGGCCTCCTCATCCTGGCCTGCGTCATCGCCACCCTCACCGTCATGTGGCTCTTCATCGACGTCCGGGAGCAGGTCTTCTCGCTGCGCACCGAGATAGAGCAAGGTTCGCCGGCCTCCGCCGAGTTCCGCGCACAGTGGGCCAGCCGTCTGACTCCGAACACTGCTTTCGTCGCTCTGTCTCTCTCGCACCCCTACGGAACGCCCCATGAGTGCGAGAGAGACAGAGTGACGAAAGCAGTGCTCGGAATCAGACGGCAGAAGACCGGTGGAGGCGGTCAATGTCCCGGACGGGTTTCGAGCCGCAGAGTCGCTGAATGTGGCTCGAACCGAACGTGTTACCCCACCAATGGATTGCTCTCCGAACGAGGAGTCCATTAGTGGGGTCACACGTTTGATTCGAGTCCCATTTAGCGACTCTGGAGCTCAAAACGCGTCTAAAGTTTTGGCCCCCTCCACCGGTCTTCTGGACCACTGTGCGGCGTCGCAAAGATGGTTTACAGTCTCACTGGGGGCGCGGGGAGGGGAGGGGGAGGGAAGGGGGCGAAGCGCGCTTAGGCCCAGCCACAGGGGCGGGTCCAGAGGCTGGTTCAGGGGAGGAGGGGATGTCGCAAAAGTTACTTACATGGACAAAGTGCGACTTGTTGCCTACCTTTCATTCACCACTCCTATTCTCCTTCTGGATCTGCGCCTGTTTAGCCTAGCCATTCAGTAATCCTGGTTCAGCTCTTTGCTCGGTTCTGCTCACGCTATTCGTTTGTGTTTGTTGCACTTTTCTCAGCCAAGCTTGCCATGGTTTGATTTACTATTTTACTAAAGTGTTGTTCTGTTGTTGACAGTGGTAGCAGGGAGTCAAGCCGTCCCAGATGATCTTCAGAAAATTCACTCCCTTTCAAGGGAGCTTCAACAGAACCAGACTCAACTAACGTTGCGAGTCAACACCATTGCCGCTCAAATATCTAACTTAAGTCAGCAGGTACCACTTTTGTGATTAAAATGAAGATCCCCATTGCAGTATTTTTGAAAGTATTCAAAGAGTTATGGACACATTTCATTTTTCTATTGACAGCTAGGTGTTGTTCAAACTGATCTGCGTGTCTACACAGACCATCATCAGTCCAATCCGGAGCCTTCAAACATCAAGGAGCTCATGACTAATGTAGCATTAATGGGCTCACAAATTAAAGATCTAGACAACACCGTGCGTTCTGTAAAGCAGCAGCAGACAACTCTTGACTCTATTTTGCAAACTGTTGGGAAAAATTTGACTGCTGTAGAGGTGTGTGATAGTAGTACCCAAGCTACAAGTTTCTCTTTTTTCTTCTATCTTACCCTGGTTCTAATTATTCTTTTTTTTTGTCTTCCAGACTTCGGTTTCTCAACTTTCCAACGCCACTCTCCGTCCAACACCGTTAGAACCAAACATAGTGCATGAACTTGAGAGCCTACGGCAAGTAGTTGCCCAAACCTCTGCAAATATAAGTGCAGCCAATTCTACTATGACAAAACGTCTACAGTGGTTACAAGACGATCAAGTCAAAGACCATGTTGGTATACTTTTTCACAAGTTTAAGCTTTACAAGTATTTATAAAAGTTTGGCCTGATTTCCTAAAATGTTACTCATTTACAGAAAGCAATTGAATTACTTCAAGACCTTGGTCAGAATGTTACTGCAAGAGTTAAGACTCTTGAAGGGGAATGTGCCAAAATTAGTGAGCAGAGCATGCTGAACTCAACTTTAACAGTTTTAAAAGAACAGGTGGGCGTTTTCCCTTTTCAATTGTTGACAGTCACAAAATAATTCTCATCCTTTTAAATGTAATGCGAGTTAATCTTATTATTTCCCTCAGGTCAATCAGGATGCACAGCGCTTAAAAGCAGTAGAGCATTACTTGTCTACCATGCCAGCATCACCAGAACAACCAGCCTTGCAAGTGACTCCAAGCAGTATTGTGGCAGGGAAACCTGCTGAATCAGGGTCAATCGCAAAAGAAGAACCGAAAAGAGAAGGATTGACCCCTTTGCTGACTGAATCAGGTACTATTATTTTACTGTGATGTAGTCACTTCCTTATCATGTTAAAAAAATATAGTGTGGCAGTTAATAGTTTTGTTTTTTCCTTTAATTTTAGGAATTACCACTCCCGGTGGCTGAGGCCAATATAGTGATGATTGATGGACCATAATATTGTGCTATGTTAGCACATTTGCTCACAACAGTTACCATCCTTCCTGCCACTGTTTTGGCAAATAGTCTTGTGTGACTGCTCTTGATTGTGCTTTGCTGTGTTTGGCAGTTATCTCGTGTGTTGTGTATGTACACTATTGGCATTTAAGGACTCACTGATTGTTTCTAGGTAAGAGAGGCACTTCTGTTGATGGGCATGCTTCTTCAGTTGCAAGTGGAAAGTACAATTTTCTGAGTATTGTAGATATTCAATTATTTGTTGTTTGGAGTTTTGGAAATGTTCATAAAATTGGTGCAGACTTTTCTATGATAAAAGAGGAAAGGTTCTTTGGTAATGCTAGTCTTGCCATTTTAAGGGTATTTAATTGTTAAGAGCATTCACTCAAATTCCTTGGTATCTTTGAGCTTAGGATGCCTCTTCCAGTGCAAAACTAAAATGAAGCCCGGTGTCTCCTAGTTTGATCACTGAAAAGCCTGATTTCTCACCGGTTCTGGAATTCTAAGAGAGACACTAAATTCTGTTATTCCACTCTTTGAGTATTTGTTGAAAATAGGTAGTTCATGCCGGCACAAAACGAATGGAATCAATCAACAATTTTGATATTTGCATTGAGTTTTGACATCATCAAGACCATAAATCATTTGAACTGCAGCATCTCTTTTCATCAACCAGCCAACACTGTTTGTCTACTCCTATAGGTGCAGATTTATGAAGTTTTTAATTAAGTATACTCTGCCTTACTTGTGATAATCCAAGTGTTGTTAGATTTACTAGTTTCTTGTGCAATTTATATTTTAGCTTGAATTTTATTGTTTTAGAATTGTTTCATTTTTTATTTAATATTGTAAGGATAAAGTTGGACAGGAGTATTGTATTTGTTTTCTTTTGTTAGATATGAACAAGGTTAATTAATAAATGATGAAATTAAAACTACTTTGACTTATAATTGACATCCTTGTTAACATAAAGTAACTTTGACAATTTCACAGTTGTCATCACAAAGTGAATACCTAAGCACAATTTGCACTATTTTGGTGTAGAGATAACTACAGCACTCCAGAACAAAACAAATTAAAACCACTAGAAAAACGTTTAGGATAGTACTGGATAGTGCCAAAGAAATGTGTAACACAAAAAGACACTTGCGTCATGTGTTAATAACACACTGCATATGACATTAGATTTTTAAGACTGCAAACCCACTCAATGCAATAAGATATTTGAAACAAACATCAGCTTGTGAAGAATAAATGGTCAAAAAGATACCTCGTGTCAGTGTGAAGAATCAACAATTGCTACAAACTAAATTATTCAAAACAATCAACTTGGACCTCTAGTGGTCAAAGGTACAAGCACAATTTGGTATCAATTTCACAGCACATTTCAATGCTCACTTATGAATCAATAACTTTGCTTAGCTAAACTTTGGGAGATTAATATCACTGTCAAATGAACAGAGATTCTAAAAACTGAGCGTTTATAACCAAACCATTAATTTAACATAACTTTTGTATGGTGTTTATTTTGCATAAGGCCAAATAATAAAAAGGAAACCAAAACATAATTTATCTCCTACATCTTTTAAATAGTAAGAAAGGGAAACAGCTTACAAAAATGTTTCAGATTCGTGCCCTGTGTTCCCATTGGTTTTTCAGTCTTGTAAGAAGTCCTTAAACCTACATCAAAGTACCCAAATGGAGAATAGGTTTCTCAGGTTGCTTAACAAATAAGTACTTGGGTGTAAGTACCAAAACTAATCAATGAGCCTTAGTCTGATCTACCTAAATACACCACATAAAACATCAAAAACTGTAATAACAATATCACAGTTAATGGAAATCTTACTAATAAAAAAGGCAACAAGTGACAATTCCTCCCTACTTTCTTTAACATGAACTGTGACAGACCATGAATAAATACATCATTGTAAAAAAAGAAAAGTGAATCATAAAAGATCTATAAAGATTTTTCGCAGCATCACTCTTGTCAAAAACAAATATGGTGAATCAAGCCTACATTCTGTTAAATGTCCGACTACTTTACGAATCTGTATCCATCCTTTCCATACTTCTGTCAATATCTTCAAAATTTCGCTTCAGACTGCGATCTGAGTTTGAACCCAAACATGTCAGATTCGCAAGATAGATTGATTCAAAAGCCATCAACTGTTGAGCAAATCCCTCATTGGGGTTAACACAGAACCGTTTTGTTTGCAATAAGTCATATGCTTTCCTGTAACAGAAGTAAATAAAATGTCATGAAGAATGTTGCGTGTACTTCCAACAAAATGTTAAGCCTTATAGAGCCTTACTTGTAGGTAAGTCCATATTTCTCCATGACAAACGCAATTGTAAGAGCAGCACTACGAGAAATTCCAGCATTTCCATGTATCAATGTTTTACCACCTCTCTCATGAGATTCATTGATAAAATCCCGCACTGCCCGAAAATGTTGAATAATATTCTCAGTGGGACAATCGGCGATGTCCAGAACAAGGTAACTGAAAAATAATTTTTTTAAATTATTAGAATCAAACAATAGAAGGAGAATGGGATCACACATAACTTTTGACTTGTTTCGGTTCTTTTTACCTGAATCTGTCAGGAAATCTAGGTCGAACTATTTTGGCTTCCATAGTACAACGAACACAAATTATGTGTGTAATTCCATTTGACAACAAATAATCAGGCTTGGCAGGCTTGGCCGACGAATAGGGACCAAGGAACAGGCCAGGTACAATTTCTTGCATACTGCGGCGCATGTCGTAGGTCCATTCTTTCAGGCCTGAAGACGGAACCGAGGGGAAGTGCAGTTGACCTGCCACTGGGCTTTCCCGTCCTCCGTCAAGTTCCTCTTCATTGCCAAAAGATTCATCGTCATCCGTCATTCTTGTGGCTGCAAGGGAGGAAACACGGAAACGGATTAGTCTGGAAAGATGACAGTGCAAAGAAACAAATGAGTAACACAAAGGCTAGTTTGAAACTTGATTTAGCAATTATCAATTCTTTTAATGCAATGGCCAAGCGGGAGTCGGGATGTAAGGGGGTAACGGCACATTCCGTACAGAGGATCCGGGTTCAGTCTTTCAGAGGCTGGTGGGACCCCTTCTAAAAACCGAGATACCGACACCAGCGAGCGACGGGTACGAGCAAGTCACAGCGCCAACGATAGCTGGTGAAACTGAGACGCGATACAACCTTCAACACGCGACGCGAACGAGAGGAATACCAGCTAACTTCCAGTCGAACGAACGCACATGTCTAGTGGTCAATGGACTGCAATGCCCTCCCACATCCAGCCCAATGAAGCCCCAGAGTTTTCGTTCAGACCTCTCCAACCAGGACACAGACTACCCACGCGCAACAGCCTACTTACAGTGGCTTATCATCATAAAAGACGAACTAACACGGATGAAACTTCTGAAATAAATAATTCAAGAAAAGTCATACAGCATATACACCATAAACAACAACACGAAAAACAATGGCACGTCTTGCTGGGGGCCAAGCAGACGCCGCTTAAATTGTTGCCGTTGCCAACTTCGAAACCAAGAATTCCCTACCTTACTTGTGTCCTTGAGCGGGGCTCCAACGATAGCCTCGACTGTGTTTTGCACATTTGCTATTGCTTAATGAGTTATTCAATTCATTTGAAGCACTTCAGAGCATTGGGGGTACGGGTTATGTGAAGTTGTTTTACAGCCTGGGCGTTGCTGAAGGTTGGTCTCTTTCAGTGCGTGAACCGGCTCCGTTTCCGTCGAAATTCAAACTGCGCAGTACGCTACTGTGCTTGTCTGTGGTCTATCGCAGATCAAGGCTTCACTAGTCAGGAATGTTCATTCCAGGGGCTTCGCCTTCTAATTCCTTTTCATGACGCCAGCGTCAACTTACGGAATCAATATGACAAAAATATAAGTTTACGATTCGTCTGCATGTTCTGCAGTGTCATAATAATCATTTATCAACAAATGTATTTGTTTATGAGGAAACGAGCATTCTGAGTTTGTCAAGGTTGCACATCAAACGTTGTTCTCATTTTTAGTTGTTCTGTAATCCATTATCGACGTTCGGTCATAGAACCTTGCTGAGAAGGAAACTGTAGTCGACAACACCAAACCAAAATACGTGAACTTGTCGAGGTTGTGCAGGTTAGGTTGACTAATACGTCTGCCAGGTCGAGCCGTTGTGAGCCTGCCCAATTTCAGGATACATTTACCGTCGCTGACTCGATATTCACTCGCTTGCACGTTCTGATTCAAATGTTCCCTCCTCCAGCACGTCACTGACTCAACATTGAAATTGATAGACAGATTCGCTTTCAGGTTCTGATTCAAATGTCAAACAACGCACTGCCTACGCTTCACACAATCATATTTTTTTTTTCTTTTTCAAGAAAGTATACAGTATTGCATGTGTTCTGATTTGGGATAAGTTCATGAGATAAAAATGAAGACGATTGTGATCAATTATCTATTTTAATAATTGAATAATAATTGAATGAACAGAGACGCAAACACAAAGAGAGTATACTGTACAGCATGAAACCTAGAGGTATGGATCAGGGATGAACTCATGTGTCATGTCTGAAATGAAACACTGTCACTCAAATAAAAGGAAGTGACTTGACAACCACCATCCTCAAGAGTCCATACAAAACTGTCTGCATTAGACAGAAATTAAAATAGAAGGATGAATTGCATAGAATTGAGATGACAGATTTACAGAGTAACAGAATAAATAAGTCACATATAATTTTAACTGGTTTCCAAAGTAGCTAGCATCGTGAGAACCACTCTGTAACACCCCTTAAAAAATTTCCGCCCACCATTGTAATGTACACCTATGCAGAATCAAAGCTTACCGCCTTAACACATTGTTTAGATGACAAGATCATTTTCAAAAACATTTCCACAACACCTCCTCATTCCAATAAAAGAAACAGCAGGGTAATTGACAAAAACTTAACAGAGGTCACTAAAACTGAAGTAGAGCCTCAAACAAAGCTTGAAACCTTCCTTTCATTTTCACTAAAATTGAACCAAAAATAACACAAAAAAACAAAGGTACACCAAATTTTCTTTAACAAGTACCTATTCTTTTCCTCTTTGTCAAGTCACTTACAATTTTCTTCTTCAAACACAACATGTCATGTTTGACACACAAACAATTGACAATATCACAGGTCAACATTTGCTTTAAATGATATGAAACTAGCTTACATGGATTCATAAAGAGCAAACAAAGCAATCTCTATCCTAAGTTTAATATGTTAAAAATGATTCAGAGGCTTCATCACGTTCAACATCCATTCCAAGGAAAGCCTAAGATCTTTCATCATGAAGGGTATAGACTCTCAACTTAGCTTAGTAATTTCCAGTGATTTCACCATTACACTAAGAACAGTGAAATCAGTTTCAGTTCAGTAACAATATTGTGGGTTACAGTCATCAAGGAAATGTGAGTCAGGAAACAATCAATGAGGTTTCGTTCATTTAGTCTCCAAGTTCCATTTAAGGAGAGGCCCAAATAATACCTCATTTTTTCCTTTTCTTCACTACAGTTAGCATCAGAAATGTACAAGTGATAGGAACTAATACAGCAACCTTGCACAGAACATACATAATGCTCAATAAAAGAATTATCACAATTCACAAATTTACAGATTTTGCATTTCTAACATGAGACATTGTTACCCCAATATTTGATTTGCAATTGCAATCAAACAGACTATAAACAGACATTTTTATATTCAATTTAATACATATCTAGAGGATATAGCCACCAAACAGAATATTTGTAGAGGTCCCTAAATATAATTAAACAGCTTTGTCATCATCTGTGCTTCTGTAACTGACCAAGTAAAAAGGAAAGATCAATGAGCAAGTCAGTTCCAGAAGTACAGATATCAGTCAACAGCCATCTTGTGACTTGTCCAGGAATTCCACTCCCCCTTCCTTTCTGCACTTGTGCAATCACATTAATGAAATGAAAGACAAAACAAAGACAACAGAGAAGATAACAATCAACATCATTTAAGCAAATAATCCAACAGACCAAGTTTAGATTTAAAAAAACATAAAATAAAATCAGAGTATACTTTAACTGGGTCTGCAGTCATAAATTTCCTTTTTGGACAGCTTGTCAGTCTTTAAAGGTTGATTGAATCTATCAAAGTCTTCTTATAACATGGCTGAACTAAAACATTTAACATTGCCATATTATCAAAAGGATTAATTAAAACACTTGAAGAGCAAGTTAGTTTTGAATGTGCCTTTGATTTAAGGGATTCTCATAAAATAAGGCATAATGCAACATAAATGAATATTCCAGTTCACAAATAAATGGGAAATGAGCCAAAATAATGTTACAAAAATACATATACACTGCAATAAAATACTTCAAAAATGGTTTGGCAGTATGTAGTAGTTAGCAGAATGACAATGGATAGAATACTTTTGGTTAAATCAAATACATTAGGCAACTTTGAAACCAAAGAAAAGACTGCAGGGTGGTATCTTACAAACACAACTGCATGGACAAAAAAACTGAGATGCTGGTAACTCGCAACTTTGGTTGGGGAACCAAAATATTCAGCCATCTAAAAAAACAAACCAACATTGCAGTTTTAGGCTCTTGGAAAAACTAAAATGAACATGGCTGATAATGACAGTAGCTGTGCCTACCTGGTATGACATTCACTTAGGACTCAAGCTTTGGAGGTGGTGAACCTGATGTCATTTTCCTCCTGTTGACAAGGAAAGAAGTGACAATACTGACTTCCACTATCATCATTCCAAGATAGAGGGGTTAAAAATACAGACCTTTTCTTCTTTTTGTGGGCTGATAGGGAACCCTGGCCGCTATCAGAATCAGATGAACAAGATGAATCGCTGGAGTCACTTGAGCTCGATGTTGAACAACTAGATGAATCTGACGCCACACCAGTGTCTTCATTGACATCAATAGTACTAGCTAGTGCAGCAAGTTGTGGTTCTTTTTCCTAAAATTAATTGGAAGTAGAATTTGAGTTTAGAGGAAATCAAAGAAAACAGTACAAACTGAAACTCAGCTCAATATGATTCACCTTCAAGACTCGATACCACTTCTTGGACAGTTTGGGGCGGCCCCTCACTGTTTTGTGCCACACAATAGGAAAGTTTGTTCGGGAACAGAAATTCTGTGTCACAGCAATAGTGTTATCTAGATTCAAAACTACATGCCACCAACCCCCTGGAACAAACACTGTTTCCCCAGGCTTTTGCAAAATTTCAAGCTGGAAACAGAAACACACAATTACATTGATGTACTCATCATTACACAGAGATCGATGATGTGTGTCTAAACACTTACAGGTTTACAATCTGAAGGCCAAGATGGATGTTGTGTACGTGGATAGATCAAGTTGAACCATGTAATGGCTTCATCCGTTTGCTTGCTGTCTTCCACAGAACTTACTTTGATAATATCTTTCGGTGTATGTGTAGGAAATAAACACCACCTAAACAGGACAATCATTTCATACATCAGGTATTGGTGAGAATGTGTAAAACTAAGGATTAAACCTTTCACTGGACTCACCGTTTGTGGCCAACTACTAGTGAATTCCAAGCACTTGTTCCGAGAGGGTCAATGTGGATCCCAGTGCCTGACCTAGAAGGGCCCATGACAAACCATCGGTAAGGAGGACGGCGTTCTTCACCTGCATACTTGAACAAGTCATCTCTAAAATAGAGAGGGATGTCAAAGTCTTCCAGTATCTTTTGCCTTCTTGGGTGCTAAATAAAAAGAATAGACACAAAAATTTAGAATGACAACAGATGAGAAAAATATAAATGCCATAAAATAAAAGATACTCACCTCACCAAAGCTGCTATCAAATATATACAGCGGACTGTCATCCTGGTTTGCACCCATATAATCAATGAAGTATTTCATTTTCATTTTAACGCTGTATCCTTGATTGTCTTCACCGCACTTGAACTTCTGGTTCCGGTACTTTTTCCCAAGTCTCTGCAAAATTGAAATAGGGATGGTTGACAATGAAGACTGTAAAACTGACATGACTCAAATAACTCAACAGCTGTAAACTTGATTTGCCCAGAAAAATGCCAACTTCGCAGTAAAACAAAGTTGAGAAACTCACCTCCAGAGTCCATTTTTCATTCGCTCTCCAGTTCTTCTGACATCCAGTAATGACAACAGGTTTATACGGCTTCTCATACTTTTCAATAAACTCTTCAGGAGAAACATCATTAACATCTATTCTTTCACAAGTGTCTTCTACTTTGGTAAATGGCTCAAATTTATTGTAGTAACCAATTCTGTACCAGGCCCCTTTATCACTCAGTTCTGCAACAAAAAACATTCGAGTTCAAGAAAATATTCGTCGTAACAAAGGAATATTTACGAAAACAGCAACAGATAAACGACAACGAAAGGTGGAGGCGAACTAGAGACACAAGCAAAAGCAAACGTTCACGTTCACTGGAAAAAGAGACCAGAGCAACGTCGTCAGGGAGAGGTTAACCCGGCTTTTTATCACAGAAAACCACCGGGAAACTGACAAAGATCGGGTCGGAAACAGCAAAGATCGCAGTGCCCCGTGCGCTGGTGCGTTCCGTTCGTCCCGAGGGACGCAACGACGGCACATTAAGGTTGCACCTCGAATGAATGGCCGAGTGCAGAAGATCACGTACACCACAAATGCACACCACTGTTGCAGGTGCCGTCCGCTTTTCCACCACGACAGCCTCCACTCACCGGGCCGGGCCTTCTTCTTCACCTCCCGGATCCTTTTCCTGGTGCGGCCATGGAGCTTGTCTCCGGAACTCATACTCAATTCCGACAAAAAGAGGGAGAGATAATTAAAATTTGGACGTGCGCAACACTTGTGTGTGTGCCGTGCCGTGTCACTCCACTTCAGTGTAGTGTCCAGAAAGTGACAATACTTGTGTTCTTCTTCTCGCGAATGGCTAGCGCCTCTGCTGGGCCGCTGAGGTGCGTTCAGGGACCCAGTAGTTTCACCCGTGAATGTCCGTCGTGAAGAGTTCGATTTAAGTTTGCCCTGAAACATGTCGCTGAAAGATCGTTGAGTGGTATTTATTCATCGTATGAAGCTGAAATGCGGTGAGACGTGCGGTGAGAGGGAAAGGGGAGGGGAACAGGGGGCGGCAGGGGCGGCGTGCCGTGGCGTGCGAGTTCGCGCTGTTGCCGATAGATGGCGCCACCGGTCTCGCGCCACGGCAAGCAGCGCACAGTGGGCCTGAAGACCGGTAGAGCGGCCAAAATTCTAGAAGCGTTTTGAGCTCCAGAGTCGCTAAATGGGACACAAACCGACCGTGTGACCCCACGAATGGATTCCTCGTTCGGAGAGCAATCCATTGGTGGGGTCACACGTACGGTTCGAGTCCTAATTAGCGACTCTGAAGCTCAAAACGCGTCTGGAGTTTCGGCCGCCTCCACCGGTCTTCTGGCCCACTGTGCGCGCAGCAAGAGAGACGGAGCGACGACAGTGTGCTGGTTGTTGCCAGTGACGGCCACCCTACTTGACTGCCGGCCGCCCTCCGCCGCCACGCCAAAGGGTTGGTAATTGAGGCGAATCGAGGAGAAGCCAAGTGCAGAAACGGATTTGGCCGCGATTCCCCCCGCCCCGCCAGCCCCGCCCAGCTCGCCGTCTCTCTCCCTCACCCCCACGGAGTGCGAGAGAGAGAGAGAGAGAGAGAGAGAGAGAGAGAGAGAGAGAGAGAGAGAGAGAGAGAGAGACGAAAGCGCCGCACGCCTCGTGCATGCCTCGTGTGTCCCGTGCCAGCCGCGCCGAGGGGGAGAGAGAGAGAGAGAGAGAGAGTGTGTGTGTGTGAGAGAGAGAGAGAGAGAGAGAGAGAGAGAGAGAGAGAGAGAACCCGACCGACAATCCGCAACGACTTTGACAGATTCCATTCCACGGCTTGTCTGTGTGCGTGTGTGTGTGCGAGTGTGTGTGTGACTGTCTGTGTGTGCGTGCGTGTGTGTCTGTGTCTGTGTGTTCAGCAGGGCGGTCGTGTTGTTTGAGTCGCCCCGCTGGCTTCGCCGGCTTTGGCTTTTCGCGGGGCGATGCGGCGATGCAACACGATCGCCAGTCTCGCGCCAACGGGAAGGGCAGCCCGGGGGCGAAGGCGGGCCGAAGGGCGCACAGTGGACCAGAAGACCGGTGGAGCGGCCAAAATTCTAGACGCGCTTTGAGCTCCAGAGTCGCTAAACAGGACTCGAACCGAACGTGTGACCCCGCCAATGGACTGCTCTCCGAACGAGGAATCCATTGATGGGGTCACACGTTCGGTTCGAGTCCTGTTTAGCGACTCTGGAGCTCAAAACGCGCCTTGAGTTTTGGCCGCCTCCACCGGTCTTCTGGCCCACTGTGAGGCGGGCCGAGGGGCGTGACGCTCTGTCTCTCTCGCACCCCTACGGGACGCCCCGCGAGTGCGAGAGAGACAGAGCGACGAAAACCATCTTTCGGAATCAGGCAGCTGACCAAAGTACGACGTCGCCACCCTGAACTTGTCTCTGGATCCGCCCTTGGTTCCGGACGGGTGGCGGTACAGTACTCCTCCCTCCCCCTTCCCCCCCCCCTCCTCCTCCCCCTTCCCCTCCCCGCCCCCTCACATTTGTTGTGGCATCTGGCGGCAGGAGGAAGGAAGACGCAAAGGAAGCAAGGCACACGCTGCAGGCTGATTCCGGTCTCTCCGTCTCGCTCGCACTCATGGAGCGTCCCGTGTGGGCGAGAGAGAGAGAGAGAGAGAGAGAGAGAGAGAGAGAGAGAGAGAGAGAGAGAGAGAGAGAGAGAGAGATAGAGAGAGAGGGTGGCCTGCAGTGCAAACACCTCCCCGGGTTCGTTTAGGGGTGCTGCCTGTGTCCCTGCACGCCGTTTCGTCGCTGTAACCACTCTGTAAGCGATTTTCGGCCAGGACTGGAACTGAACGTGTGACCCCACCAATGGATTCCTCGTTCGGAGAGCAATCCATTGGTGCGGTCACACGTTCGGTCCGAGTCCCATGTAGCGACTCTGACGCTCAAAACGCGTCCGGGGTTTTTGGCCGCCTCCACCGGTCTTCTGGCCCACAGTGCGGCGTGCCGGCGTGCCGCGGGGTGCGAGAGAGACGGCGCCAAGCACTGTTCGGCCCCACGCCGATAAACTAGAATCAGCCTCATTGACCGAGCTGGCCCGACAGAGGCTGGGCGCCGGCGGCGAGGCGGTGGTACACTGGCGGGGCTCGCCGCGGCACGCCGCACAGTGTACAGTCCCAACAACAAGCAACAGCCAGTGTGCCCCCCACAGTGTGCCCCCACCGCGCGGCCGCGAGGGGCCTTTCAAAGCGCCGAGACCGCCGAGATGAGCCGGAGAAGGCCGCGCCCGAGAGCCGTCGTCCGTCTCTCTCGCACTCTTGCGGCTGCCCGCGTGGGTGCGAGAGAGACAGAGCGACGAAAATGACGAAATCGGCGATCGCGAAGCCGGTCACCCGGCGCGGCGTGGCCGTGGTCGTCAGCGCGTGGTACAGGAGCGGCCTGTAGTTCCGGCAGATGCTGTGGCCGCCAGTCTCTTGAGCACGACCACGCGCCACGCCCTGCCACGCCGCACAGTGGGCCAGAAGACCTGAGGAGGCGGCCAAGACTCTGGACGCGTTTTGAGCTCCAGAGTCGCTAAATGGGACTCGAACCGAACGTGTGACCCCACCAATGGATTGCCCTCCGAACGAGGAATCCATTGGTGGGGTCACACGATCGGTTCGAGTCCCATTTAGCGACCCTGGAGCTCAAAACGCGTCTTGAGTTTTGGCCGCCTCCACCGTTCTTCTGGCCCACTGTGCGCCGTGCCTCGGTCGTCGCCGCGCGGCGTGGCACGGCGTGGCACGGCGTGAATGGGCGTGATGGATGAGGCTCGACCGCCATGGCTGCGGGCCTGCGGGCCGATTCCCCCGTACAGTGCTCCGTCTCTCTCGCACTCGCGGCGCGTCCCGTCGGGGTGCGAGAGAGACAGAGCGACGAAGCGCGCCGCGCGGAGCCAGCCCGCGGCCATACTCTGGTGTGGCGGCGCGGCGCCCCTCACGTCGCAATATTTGCCACTTGTGCCGCCAGACTGATTTGCTCCGTCTCGCTCGCACCCCACGGGGCGCCCCGTGGGTGCGAGAGGGACTGACCACTCCACTGTCCGGAAAGAGCCTCCAGAGCGGCGCGTGAAAATGAAGAGAACCTTCTCGTTTGCACGTACAACCCACCGCACAGTGGGCCAGAGGACCGGCGCAGGCGGCCAAAAATCCAGACGCGTTTTGAGCTCCAGAGTCGGGAAACAGGACTCGAACCGACCATGTGACCCCACCAATGGATTCCTCGTTCGGAGAGCAATCCATTGGTGGGGTCACACGTTCGGGCCGAGTCCCGTTCAGCGACTCTGGAGCTCAAAACGCGCG